TGATAAGGATGCTGATGATGAGGAGGAGGAAGAGGAGGAGAATGGTTATGATTATAGTGATGATGGTCACCATGGCGATAACAATGGTGGTCATAATGAGTAGGATGGTGATGACGATGATGATGACGACGACAATGATGATGATGATTTATATAAAAATGATGACGATGGTGATGATGATGACGACGACGACGATAATGATTACGATTGATTGCTCATGCACGCTACAAACACACGCACAAAAAGTTTTTACACGCACACGCGCGCACAAAACATTATCACGCACACACAAAATCACGATAATGATGGCGACAATTATAATAATGGCCGCCGCATTTTTATGATTGACGTTAATTATGAATGAAATACCTGGACCGCCTCCATGACATCACAAATCAAATGGTGACGTCAGCCAAATAATCGAGCAGAACGCCGGCGCAACGTCTTTTGATAACCGAGAACATAAATATTAACACGCCCGCTTGCACACGCACTGATTACGATTGATTGCTCATGCACGCTACAAACACACGCACAAAAAGTTTTTACACGCACACGCGCGCACAAAACATTATTACGCACACACAAAATCACCCACTCGTAAATGATCGGAAGAACACACGCACACACACAATTTCTCAAAACACCACATACCTATATAACCTCAAGACTATTCGCGTTCGCATTCTTGTACAAATTGCGTAATATGGTTCTTATTCAGTGAGACGTTGCACGCGTGCGTACGTACACCTATGCATAATATGGGGAGATAAAACAATCGCATTAATGATCGGTGCGGTGAATATGCACTTGCGATAAGAAATATTACGAACAATTATTTAGTTAAAAGTGCCAATATGTATCACGTTCATACAATGTATCTTATATCTATCTATCTTTCAGTTCGTCTATTTCCCATCTGAAAAGCTCAAACACTTTTACACCTCACATATGCGCACATTTTATGTCACCCCAGTAGAAAATGATATTTTCATTTTTCAAATTGATCAATCAACCAGCCAAAAACTGGCCAACCAGCAAACAACTGCCAAACCAACCAACCAACAAATCAACCAACCAACAAATCAACCAACCAACAAATTTAGAGCAATGGAAGTAGTTGCAGCACAGTACAGTACAGCGATAACCACATATAACAAACAGTTAATTCGATAAGTGTAGCGCTACATAACATGACGTCAGTGACGGCGCATGCGCACTGCGCAATGCAATTAAGTTCTGGACGACATCTGAATTATGATGGCTATTGTTTCTATTGGGAAAATTTTTTCCTTCTTCCCGACGATGCTGATGACGATGACGATGGTGATGATGGTGATGAGAAAAAAGAGGATAATTATGACGCAAGCAACTTCATCATCATCTTCATCACCCTTAGTATCATCATCATTATCATTGCTATGATCGTCATCATCATCTTTGTTGTTGTTGTTGTCACCATCATCATCATCATTATCATCATTATCGTCATTATACCATTGTTCATTATTGTAAGGATTTGTGTGCGGTATTAAGTAAATGTGATGTAATCATCATTACATCACCATAACAATTTTCATAATTTATATATATATATATATATATATATATATATATATATATATATATATATATATATATATGTTTGTTATTAGGAGGTATTGTAAGAGTTAAGACGCCTGGCTCTGCTGCTGAATGTATGTGATGCGTGACGTTGGTTTGCATCTGCTGTTGGTACATCTGGAAAGTTACCAGGTGATAATTAATGATAATATTAACAACTAAAGAATATTGATACGAGGGTGATAAGACTATAGTTCAAAACTCAAGTTTTTGATTACCTCATAGCTAATGTCGCCAATGTTGTTGACGGTATCCAGTCCATTGCTGATGTCATTGTTGTTGTAAATTAATGTTACCGACGTAGTGTAATTTCTATTGTTGTTGTATTGTCAGCAGTTGCTGTTGTTGTTGTTGTTATCAATTTCGTTTCTGTTTTAATTGTTGTAAGTAAACACGTAGAACAAACATTTGAGATTAAGAGACAAAGTTTGGCAAATGAGACTTGCCTATTTGTGAGAAATGATAAGGAAATGCAACAGTTATACAAAATCAGCTAATACCGACAAATGTAAACATGCATACAACAGTACACATACAAAAATACAAATATACAATCCCCTCATACACTCAAAGCCGTCCGCAAAAACATACAAACACATATACAAACGTATATTTGAACTTCCAAAAATTATACAAACAGCATGTATGTATGCACACACATACACGCACACACACACATACACGCACACACACGCACACATACACACACACGCACATAAACACAACAGTTACTACAGACCAGAAGAATGCCTCTTCTTATCATACAAGGACCAACACGATGTTGCTAGGTAACCAGATAATTATGATCGTTATGATGATGATGATGATGATAAAAATTTATAATAACATATTTGAAATATTATTCATGGTGATGCCGAAATCAATAATGAAAGAAAAACTGACGACGATGAAGTTGCTACTAATGGGAATGATGAAGCCCTCATAAAACCAACCAATAAAAATCATCCTACCTACCATTCCCAGGTACCTTAGATGGGACGATGCCCCTTGTGACCTGAACAGTGCCGGTGGCATCAAGGTCCTGTGCGAAGTTGAACTCAGATGACCTTTTCATTAACATAACGCGACCCAGCTACCTCTGATCTGTTCTGACCTACTTACGCGTTTGCTGATTTTTTTTATTTATTGCAGATTTTTCATCGCCGAGCAGTTCATTAAATTATTTTCGCGAGTTAATAAATCGTATTTTAAACCTACATACATACATTCCTGTATTTATTAGTCAATGTGTGTACGTACGTACATAATGAGCATGTACGTATGTGCATAATGCGTATTGAATTAAACATTTATAATAATTCAAATTAATACATCAAGTAGTCCATCTATATCAAACTTTTCTACACCACTTCGAGTTATCCAATCAGTTATATGTACACGAATGTTGAATGCACTGGCGTGAAATTCAATTCATCGGGTCGTCGAGGCCACCTTAGATTTTAAATTTATAAACATTTTTATTATTTATCGTTGGTTGGCACATCAAAGATGTTTTTAAATTTTTGTAAGTTGTAAGATGTTTGTAAATTGTCTTGTAAGTTTGTTTGCGAATGTTTAAAAACCAACATTCCCTATGTAGTCAATCACATCCGGTAAAATATTTTCGCCCGGACTAATGACTTCTCACGTTTCGTTTACTGGTTCATTTACATTACACACTGACGCCATTGTTTACAGATCTGTTTACATTGCTGTTACGTCACTTTTTTTTGTATCGCGTTTTTTCAGGTTTCAACGTAATCTTCGAATATTAATGCGGATGATTTTATTATTTCAATTTTAAAACGTTCCTTCTCTGTCCCTCGTGATTCACTGTGTGAAGTGGAAACAACAACAGCAACAACAACATCGTTAAGGATAACATCATCTTTCAAAATTGACAATATTAACATCAATAATAATAAAAATATATTAACAATATTAACAATAATAACATTAATAATAAATTGCCACCACATTAATAAACAATAATAATAATAATAAATCAATCTACATCATCTAGAGTTACAACTAACTGTTCTTCAATTAATAAGCGAGATAAAAAAAACTTCTTTCTGAAAAAACAATCATAACATGAAACGAATGAACGAACGAATGAATAATAATAATAATAAATAATAATAATAAATCAATGAATGATCAAACGGTTGAATGGATGAATGAATGAACGAAAAAAAAACGAACGAACGCATGAATGAATTAATGAATGAACGAAATTTTGGAATATTACAAATAATCTTTTCAATAGTACATACCCAATAACTCCTCATTATCATAGGTTGGTGCATAATTAGGTGAATATTAGCTAGAATAATAATAAGAAGAAGAGGAAGTAGAAGAATAACAAGAATAAAAATAATAAAATGATGACCACGTACGGTGAATGATGATGGCGAAAATAATATATGCAGATGATGAACGAATATATTTAAGAGTTGTTCAGTGACTATGGCATCTGATCGTTCCAAAATATACCGGATAATATTGATAATAATAATAATATTAATAACAACAATAATAATAATGAGGTTAATAATAATAATGTTAATAATAATAATAATAAAAATAATAATAGATAATAAAATATGACACGTGATTAAATTGGAAAAAAAATTATGACGCATAAAAGACAACAGCAACAATAATAGAAGTGAGAATATAGCAGAGAGTAATAATTACAATAACAAAGAATATTATTACCATTTAAATATACCTCGTAACAACATAGGAGGTACTTTAACAAAATCAAACAAATTTTTCAATTAAAAAAAATTCTCATATTTTTATCAACATGAATTATGAATATGTATGTATATATATATATAAATATGTATGTGTGTGTGTGTGTGTACGTGTGTGTGTGTGTGTAAATGGTGGAGAAATGGGATTGACATTTGATTAAATATTTTACATTAAAATTTTTGAATTTAAACTCATTTATACAAATGTCAATAACTTTAACAACTTGATTGAAAATAACAACTGAAACATAAAAGGCAATCATCAATCAGTCAATCCCAATTATTCACTCAATCAATCAGCCAAACAATCAGCCAATCAATCAATCAGCCAATCAATCAATCAGCCACTCAATCAATCAGCCAATCAATCAATCAGCCAATCAATCAATCAGCCAATCAATCAATCATTCAGTTGATCACTCAATCGATCGATCAATAAACAATTCAACAGATAACTATTGATGCATCAGTCAAGTCATCGACTCTAAAAAACATTTCAATATAACGTTAACACAAAAATAATGAACAACTTTCTTACAATCTCCTCTCTCTTTCTTTCTCTCTCTCTCTCTCTCTCTCTCTCTCTCTCTCTCTCTCTCTCTTCCTCCATATCAGTTAGATACCAAAATGTTCGTTAATGGCCTCAATGAGTTCAGCTTTCTTTGTACCAGTGCTCTTGATGTTCAACTTCTTGATGCATTCCTTCAATATTGGAACTGTCAACCTGTTCAGCTGCGATTGTGTGTGTATGTTAGTTTGTGTGTGTGTATTTGTGTGTGAAGGAGAGAGAGAGAGAGAGAGAGAGAGAGAGAGAGAGAGAGAGAGAGAAAGAGAGAGAGCAAGAGTTAGAAAAAGAGTGAGTGAGTGAGTTTAAGCAAACAACACCAACACCAACAAACAACAAATTAAAAACAAACACAGAACAACAGCTACTGCCCACCTTTCCATTCCTGGCTTCCTTCTCTACGTCCAGTTCATCATCATGTTTCGACGTCTTTCCTCCGCCGACAGCATTCGGTGCATTCTGCTCGAACAAAGACATCAACTTTACGTTATAATCACTATCACCGTAAAGATATCTCCAATATTATTTCATCACTATCGAGATTCTCCTTTCGTTATCCCCATAACCCCCATCATCATTTACATTATCACATAATCATTATCATCAGTACAATCATCATTCACATTCATCTTCATCATCACCAACATCATCATCGTGACAAACCTTCTTCTTGTTGGCGGCTGTTGTACTCCTCTTATCCATCTGCACCAACTCCTTGAACTCTTTTATCAACTTCCCCGCCCTCTTCTCGATCTTCTCTTCATCTGGCTCTGCCGGAAAACATCGTCATCATCACTATCGTCATCATCATCATCATCACTATCGTCATCGTCATCATCACTATTATCATCGTCGTCATCATCAACATCATCATCGTCGTCGTCGAACCACACCACATCATCACATCACATTTTCCTAATTATAATTCATCCGAAAGAGTAAACCAACCAGCGTCCACTTACCACTGAGCAGTAATCACCACCAGAAAGACTAACGAGTGAAATCAGAGATTTCCTCGGGGCAGTCCCTGGCCAGAGCCATGGCTTCTACGTTGTTGTAGTACTGCTGGAGTTGTGGATTCTCGAAACTATCGCTATTGAATTGAAACTGCAACTTTTTCACCAACTCCTTTGCTTTGTCTACTTGTGCTGCAGTTGCTGTGTATGTGTGTACGTGTGTGTCTGTCTGTGTTTGTTTAGTGTTGGCATGATGATTGGATGAGTATATGTCAACGTGTATTCAATGCGGGTCAACGTGTGTACATGTATTGTATGCATAAGTGTATTTAATGGGTTTTTTTTGTGTGTGTGTGTGTTTGCTTGCGCGTGTGATCTAACCTCTGAGCGCATCTTCTTCAAAGTTGACTTTCCTAAAGTCATCAGCGTATGGAAGGAAGATGATGTGGAAGCCAGGTGGAGTCAGCTGCACTTTGTTCTCATCCATTTCCTCTTCCTGTTCATCAGGATGATGACAATGGGATGGATATTTTGAGAGGATAATGATTAAAATGAAAAAAGAAATTAATTTCTTTTAAGAAAACGTGACTATGTAAGAAAATGGATTGTCAAAAAAAGTTATTAACATTACCTCTACATCAACAACTTTAACATCACCCCAAAACACAAAGATGAACAAACAAAAAAACAGACAGACAGACAAACAAACAAACAGACAAACAAAAAAACAAACAGACAGACATACATACATACAGACAGACAGACAGACAAACAAACAGACGAACAAACTAATAAACACAAACATACTTGGGGCCAGAGAGCAACAAACTTAGGTGGCGTGTTTTTGCGAGGAATGTACCTGCATATTATGACCATGCTGAGGTCAGTGCACTTCTTCAAGAGGGCCACGAACAGGGTTGTGCTCCCAGGTGCGGTCTGATGGGGTGGCATTCAATTTGGTCGTTACTAAGTCAGCAATTAAATTTTCCTTATGAGTGATTACCGATAAAATCGTATATAAGCAATTTCTATAAGTATTATTTAATTTAAAATACTTAATTATAAGCAATCAAGGAATGCCTTCAAATCATTAACTACTACATTACCTCAATAACAGTAATTTACTACAAATTATAACTATCATCTATCGAAATGAGATTAATTAAAAGTATTTTACTAGAAAAGTGAGTAATTTAAAAAGTAATAAACATATTTATTCACGCTCAAATCACCCACCTTTTCATCAGGGTATATGAACTGGGCAGGTCTTATGTGGAAGTATGGCTTAATGAGGCTCTTTTTCTTGAACCCAATCAAATATAAACCTGAAATAAATCATCATAATCAGTCACCTCCTTCAGCGTTGTCGTCATCTTCTTCATCATCATCATCGTCATCTCGTTGCAAAAACTTATACAATGATAGTTTCCATTATCAATCAACACAATCATCATATCATCGTCATCAGTTCCGTAATTATCGTCCCCATCATTCTCCTCATATCTATATTATCAAAAAAATCATGACAAAATTAATTTTCACTACACACACACGCACACAAACACACACGCACACAAACACACACACACAAACACACACACATCATCATCTTCACCTGGATTATCAAACGTCTTCATGGTGACAATCTCATCCATTTCAAAGCACACCTTGGTGTTAGCTATCTCAACGCATTTCTTCATATCTTGTGTGGATAACAGCTCACCATTCTCCTATGAGTGTATATTTGTTTGTGTATTTGTTTTTTGTTTGTTTGTGTGTTTGTGTGTGTGTGTGAATGCGTGGTGTGAATGTGTAAGAAAGCATATGTGTTTCATTCTCATTAAGATACATTACATAAGCATCATACATTTGAGATATTTTAAAATTATTTTTTACCACAATTAGGCAGTGTGCATGTGCATATGTGTATATATATATGTGTGCGTGTGTGTGTGTTTCTTAGTGTGAAATGTCAAAGACACAGAAATGTTGAAAAAATGTGTAGATCAATAGCCAAATATTAAACTGAACTCCCAACCTTGAGAAAAGTTTTACAGACTGTTTTGACTTCCTCATTGGTTTTCTTATAAAGTTTGATGGGGGCTGGCTTGTGGCACGCCTGGCTGAGATTGTACCTGTTGTTGTTGTTGTTGTTGTTGTGTTGTTGTTACGTTACATCATTCTGTTCTGTAATACACCAGCGAGTTACATCATTTAAAGGCACGCACACTTGCTGACACACACACACACACACACGTACACACACACGTACACACACATGTACACACACACACACAGACAGAAATAAAAAAGAATTGAGGGTAAAGAGAGGAGAACCACGAACACTCCAACAGCCATTGAAAGATCAGGAGATATGACGAAGGGCACTTGCTGTAACATGCGCTTCGTGTGGCTCTTTATTCGTACTCTATAAGTGTATGAGTGTGTGTATGTGTTGTCTGTGTGTGTGTGTGTGCGTGTGCGCACGTGTGTGTGCGTGTGCGCACGTGTGTGCGTGTCTGTATAAAGGTGATTGATTGAAGATTGGCTGAGACAAGATGCATAGATTGAAATGAATCAATTCACAATTCACTCAATCAATTCACAAACTTATTGCAGATGATACATGAGTGAAGATGGAGCTAGTTAAATGAATAGAAAAATGAAAAAAAAACAATGGTTGGCTGGCATATCACTGTAATTTTATAAACTATCCAAGAAAACCGACAACAAAATTACAAAGAATCAATCTAGCAAGTACAAGATCATAAAATTATAATAAAGCAAAAACCGTTTCTACAGTAAAAGCAACATATATCAAAAATGAACTCAACGCAACCAACAACAACATAAAAAATAAGATCAACCTAACTGACAGTAGCAACAACAAACCTGGTAAGTAGTTCTTCGAATCTTTCCGATGGGTCGGGCAATTCAGAGCTCTCCTCATCATTCAAAATACTCTTTAGAGAAAATAAAATATACAATAAACAATAAAATGATCTTTAAAAATGCCATTCAGCTTTCTATACTTTGTAGAAAAGCCTGACATCAAACTGGTGTTGTGGCTTGTTGATATGCATGAGAACTAGTTCAATGTTGTTCTGCTTCAAATCATCCACTCGAGATAAAGCCTGTTTCTGTTATGACGTCATGACGACAATGACGATGATAACGATGATAAAGATGATGATGAAGATACTGGCAACGATGATGACGATTATGGAGATGATAACGACGATGATGATGATGCAGCGATGGCACAATTAAAAATCAGATGCATGACAGCTGATAATAAAAATACTGAAAATGATAACGAGTGATAAGTTATAGATCATTACAACCAGTATCATTAACATAAATTGCATGGGTAAATGAATGAATGAATGAAAAAAATGAATGAGTGAATGAGTCATTGATTGATTAAGTGAGTGAGTGAGTGAGTGAGTGAATGAGTGAGTGAGTGAGTGAGTGAGTGTGTGAGTGAGTGAGTGAGTGAGTGAGTGAGTGAGTGAGTGAGTGAGTGAGTGAGTGAGTGAGTGAGTGAGTGAGTGAGTGAGTGAGTGAGTGAGTGAGTGAGTGAGTGAGTGAGTGAGTGAGTGAGTGAGTGAGTGACAGACCTTATGTTGTTCATCATCAGAATGTGGGTTGTCATTGTTTGTAAATAGAAGGATCTTTTTGTTTTGTAGTTTAACTTTGCTGTTATGAAGAAATATATATATATTTTTTCATATATATATATATATATATATATATATATATATATGAAAAAATACATTTATAAGAATATTATACGACCTAAATAAACAAACACCTAAACAAACAAACAAACAATAACATAAACAACAGGCATAACATGCACATGACAGACAACAACAGAATAACTAAAACTGACCATTGTGAGAACATATTAAGACATGTCCAGAGAGCATCAGATAGGAGATAATCATTTGAATGTCCATATTTGCTCTCTTCTGTATCTAAACCTTTTGTGGTATGTATGCAAATGCATTGTGTATTTTTCATCGGACTGTTAAGTAAGTGAAAGACATTTTTAATAGGAATTAATGAGTTGATGAATGAATGGAAAAATGAATTATTGAACAAGTGAATTATGTAATGAATGAATGAATAAAAAAATGGATGGATGGATGGATACAAAAATGAATACCAAATAACCCAATATAAAATTAACCCAAAATTAACAGTCTTGGTCTAATGACTTAGAATAAAACTAACGGCTTAATAAATAATAAACGCCCAAATTTTCAACTAAAGATTAAAATAAGTTTTAGATAGGGAACCAACGTTGGAATTAATTTATAGATTTCCGACACAACCCAAATAAAACAATTGGTGGCAATATTAATTGAGACAAATTTATTCAGTTATTTATTCAGTAGATCATTCTTTCTTGCATTCATTTACTCATTCATTCATTCAATTATTCATTCATTCATTTACTCATTCATTCATCCAATCAATCATTCATTCATCCGGAATCTTCATCACCCCAACTTACTATCAATCAACTTCTCCAATTCCAAAATCTTCTCAGCTCCTGGCTGGTCTAATCCCTAAATTTTGAAAAAGTTAATAACTTGAATAAAAATGAATTACCAAAGATACAATTTAAATGTTAAACGTTACAATTTAAAAAAGTTTAGATCATACTGTTCTACAGTGATATATCTCTAATTATTTTTTCTAATTGCAATAATATAATTTATAATTTCAACAAATTAAAACTTACTTGCAGCATGTAAATGTGTTTAAAATCAACTTCATTTGTAGACTTTTCCTTTGAAAATTAAAAATTTTTAAAATAAAACACTCTCAGGCATATCAAGAGTCTTTCTATATCTACTATTAATATATTTTAATAAAAATATAAATACACATAAAATATAATACAACAATAGCAACATATATAATAGCTACATAAAAAATATTTATATAAAATATACCTACATATGAAAAACACATAAATATAAAAACGAATACAAACAAAAATACAAACAAGCAAAATATAAAATACAGAAACATACAAAATACAAAACGTACAAAATACAAAAGCATACAAAATACAAAAATGCATACATAAAAAATACATCACACATGGAAACAGAGCATACAAACATACAAAAACATACATTCATTTTCTATCTAACCGTTGCAAAAAGCACAATTCCAATAAGATCTTTGTCATTTTGAATTATTTTATTCTGCATAACTGACTTGGCACACTTGTTGGATTGTAAATATATAAAATTATTTTTTTTTAAATTAATGTATTGGATAATTTTTTATAATAAAAATTTAAAAAAATTAAAAAATAATAGACTAGTTTAAATATTTTAGATAAATAAACAAAAATATTTACAATAAATGATTAAAAATTTAATTAAATTAACTTTTAGACAAGTTTCAAATGGACTTTCGTCATCTTTCTTCTCAAACATGGGCTTACTGGCATCGATGAGAAATATGATGGCTTCTCGATTTGTATGGAACCTCTGTTTTAATTTGATTATTAATCAGTTATTTATGGTTATTTATTAGTAAAATCAAATGTTTGTACTAAACTATGTCTGTACTAAAAGATAATCATACTATGGCATCCATAATTACATACCCACATAGATTAGATAGATACACATATATATATATATATATATATATATAATATATAGATATATATTATATAGCTACTCATTATTATAATTTAATATTATATTAATTTATTAATATATAGTTTAATTTATTTTATATTATTATCAACCAAATAATCTCACCAATTGATGAATTGGTTAACTTTTAAGATTAATTAATAAATGAAACTGATCATTAATTAGTTAGACAAACAAGATGACCCATCCATCTTCCATTTGAATATTTAAACTTTAAAGATCTATATTACATACAAACACAGACAAGGCAGCCAGTTAATTATGAAACAAACAATGCAAACAACACAACACAGACATTACAAATGACACAACACAGACGTCAGTTACACAAACACTGACAACATACATGAGAGGGGGCTTGATCTTCCTCATCCTCATTGTCACTCAAATTGAAATTGAATTCATCCATATTTTCTGCATTTAAAACAAAACAAATTTAATTCTGCAATTGGTAGGTGGAAAATTACTGTTGTTGCGGTAGTGCTGATCTAATTGATGTGTGAAGATGATGATGAGGTTGTTGACCCTGGCCTGGGTGAACAGAACTAATTAAATATTCCACCTCATCTGGCAAATATTTCCAGCTAACCAAATTAGCTAAAAATTATTATGCGCCATAAAGAAATATTTAAAAATGTATACACTCACTTGACAAAACAATTTTAAATCGAAAAAACCGGTATAAAAAATTAAATGTTATTTAGCGCTCAAGCGATAATAGGAACAAACACAAGATTGATTAGAGACGCCAAAGATAAAACTACATTTTTTGTGATAGCGATATTGTATGAGATGAGCAGACCACAAGCTGACAGACAGTTAAGGCACGTTTGCAAAGGGTATGGTCAGGGTATGATTTGTATCGAAAACCAGCCTAAACAGATTCATGACGTTTTTCAAATCACTAAATTGTAGCGTGTTCAGCTTGTCCTACCGTTCTTCACAAGATGCTGCCAAGATATTTGTATCCTGAGCTTCTGCACAATGAAACCTACATAGTTGGAATTTCATCTTATGAACTGAACTTGAACTTTGACGTTGACTCGAAAGGTTATCAAGATTCTGCATTATTCAGTCAAAATCAATATTAACCCACGGATATATATATAATATCCATGTATTCATCAGGTAATCAGAAGTAAAGCTGCTGTTTTTTTCCAGTAAAAAAGCGACTGTCTCGATGAACGAGCGATCATCTCCATTTTTAAATTGTATTCCACAGTCCACACACCTTTGTTAATAGCAAAATTTGTTTAATAAGTTATCTTAGCAAAAACTCATGTATCTTAATCAATTTTTGGCTACCTTCTTACGTTATATTGGCCTTACTGTTTTTTGAGAATGGAGATAATTTTTTCTTTTGTTTTAAATAAAACAGAATGTAAATACAAAAATGATAAACATGATAATTAACTTTCACGTTTACTTAATAAGGAATAGACAAACACTTTTCACTATTTCTTCGTCATTATTTTCATGTAACCAGCTATGTACAAACACATTTGTCAATCAACGGTGAAAAAAAAACAAATAAATTGTATATATATATATATATATTACCCACACATGTTTATATATATATATATATATATATATATATATATATATATAGTTTTAAGCAATCAAATCAATCAAACTGAAAAAACAAACGAAATAAAATGTATTTCCTATTAAGAAATAAGAGAACTCCAACCCGGTTGCCGAGTTATTTAATTATAAAATAGAATGCATGCAACATTGGTGGAGTTCATGCGGGCTTGCATGCACCCATTAGCTATAAAATGATTGCAATTAAACTAAAATAATAAAAAATGGTAAATTTGTATAAATAAAACAAAAAATAACAAATAAAAAACAAATGTATATTACTTTACAAAAAACGATAAATAAATTTTTTTCAGACGAAAATTCTCTAACACATAAAAATAAATAAATCATTATAGTCTATTATATACATACTGTACAAAATCCAAAACTCGCCTTATCGAAACGTTACTTGTATCGAAATATTTTGAATTCAAATGCAATCTATCATTATTAGTTACTAATTTTTGATAAGCCACGGTTTCTGTGCCTTTTTGTAACGCAGTACAAAAGAATGGAATAAGATATAGCAGTAGAAGGAAAATTTCATTACAATTCCTTGCTTGGTAACTGATCGAAACCAATTCTTTCATCAAGATAGTCAGGTCCGTATGTTCTAAATTTTCAGAAATATAGAAGATTGACTTAGCACTTAACACGTTAGTAAACATATTCATCAGTAGTGAATTATTTTAATAGAATCTTCGTAAGTGTTTAATTAAATTATGTTCAATCAATTTCAATACCACTGTGCTAAAATAATTAGCGAATTTATTCATTAACTGCAATACTACTTTACTGTTGAAAACATCTCGCAATTAGCTTATAATAGAAAAAAGTTTGTAACGTACAAACGACGCAATTTAATGAAAAATAAAAAATTATCAGGTAAACTAATTTATTTACACTTTTAGCTGACGTTTATGAAAAATTATTATCAGCAAAAAATCAAAATATTACAAGCCCAAACAACCTTATTAAAAAAATCAACCTCAAACTGGATGGTGAAGCATCATTAATCAAACCATATATCTTAACAAAATATGAATATTAAGAGTAATTTGTCTGCATTCGATAATTTTATCAACCAGGCAGAATAAAGAACTGTGTAGTTTAAATGTAACTTGAAACGAAATAACCAACTTCTACAACATCGGAAAACTCCTTAAAAACTTGACTGAACTTTCAAATGGTCAGCTGAATAAAACAAATGATTGTTTTAATTTATCAATGAAAGAATAAACACACAACAATAAAACGGCTAATCAAATTTCTATCATTGCAATTAAACAAATTTTATTAAAAGTGAAAAACCAGCAAGCGAAAGCCGAGTTCCAAAAATTAATAATGATGGATCTAAAATTTACTCTTCGCATACACCTTTACAAATGCGCCACTACTATTTACAAATACGTTCTCAAACGCAAACATACAGTCTATATACAGCGTGTACATTGCGTACACATATCTATCTACGTATTTATTTATTTATTTATAGTATGTTTTTTTTATTTTACTTAACTTTCATCAAAATTTAATTCTATAGAAAATCATCTTCAAAAGGTTAAATCTGAAAATGTGATAATAGAATGTAATTACCACGACAAAAAAATGAAACCCATAATGAAGTTTGATGAGTTCGGTAGGTAGGTAGGTATGGCGTTGTACTACAATGTAGAGATTGTACTACAATGTTGATAGAGATTGTACTACAATGTAGAGATTGTACTACAATGTAGAGATTGTACTACAATGTTGATAGAGATTGTACTACAATGTAGATTTGTACTAGGAAGATAGGGCAGAGTTGGAAGGATAGCAACGAAAGGTGAGGTATCCCGTGACATTCAAACCAACTCACTGTATGCAGCTTAAGTGCTTCTATTGTGTATCAGTTACAAGAAGTAGAAAGAAGGGATATTTGGAAAATATATATGTAGGAAACTAGGTAGAAGTACGAGTAATCAGATCAAGTTTGGAATAAATCCACCAAACCTCTTGACGAAAGATGATACAAGTTCATATACATATTACACACACAAGTTCATATACATATTACACACACAAGTTCATATACATATTACACACACACATACAAACACATAATTTTATGCAAATGTATGAACATACAAAAATTCACATGAAAATTGCAAACAATTCATATGTACATTGAAAGGAACGGTTAAAAGTTAGTTTAATTATTTTTTTATTTAAATTGTATTTTATAAAAATATAGAAAAAAGGACAAACAAGACAAAATTGCAACTGTCCATAGTTTTCATACATAAGCTATATAAAATTTATATATTATATATATATATACATCCAATATATATTGGATGAAAAACTCCTATGAATAACTTAAATCCTCGATACGTATTGTTTGAGAACTGTATCAAGTGATTTCAAATAACCTACAGCAGCATTGATTGATTGATTGCTGATTGAAATGATTAAATAGCTTGCTGGCTGGTTGGTGTGTTGATTGGTTGAATAGGAATTAATTTCACTAAACGTGTTTCATTTATTATTTAGTCAAAATTTGTAAAAGTTGAAATTAATGCGGTTAATATTTTACGAAATTTGCCTAAAATGTCTTCGAATTACAAAAATTTGAACAACAGAAACGTGATTACGACAAATTAATTTATAATTTTTTAATTGACTCCAATTCAATAAAGCCTACATTTGATTACCCATGTTAAAACAAAAATAATAATGAAAAGAATATTTTTAATATATTGAAAGTTATAAAAACTCCTGTGTCCCAAAGTTAAATAACCTTAACAATGATTAACACATAAGCAGGCCCACCCATGTACAAACACACACAAACAATGACATACACACACACAAAAACGCACACACGCACATGCAACACACAAACACACGCAAATTTGAAGTTATAATTTCTCCACTTTCTGAAAAAATAACATTTTATCTTTAAAGTAATTATTTCTATTATTTTAAATTTCGGTTGCCACACTAGTCTTAGTTAGACTTCTAATAATCCACTCACAAACACGCACACACAAACAAACACGTCCACACACACACACACACACACACACAAACATACATGTATGTTACAGACGTTGCTTTAAACGTGAATAAAATTCAAGAAGTATAAATTCGGAAGTGAAAAATCAAGTTGGATAATGTTATATGATAATCCCCAGCTGTTTAAATTTTTCAGAGTACTCTAATTTATTTATTTATTTAATTAATTAAATAATTAATTAGATAATTGGAAGACAAAAAAAGCATAGTCGTCTCACTCACGCACTCGACATAAATATAAACTCGCTTTAAACATGTCATCAGCAGCATTTTTCACATAGGTAAATAGATACGCCAGAAGGCAGACAACATCCAATTAATCATTCAACTTTTATTAAATGCCCTAGCGTTTTATTCATCTGCGTGCCTGCTGTGTCAATTGAAGTCAACACACCTACGACTGGATACTCAAATGCTAACCGACTTACCTGTCTTTCTACCTTTTCCACGTTAATGCAATGATAAAGAGATGCAATAATGCACTTATACATACATACACCTAAGCACACACACACACACACACACACACACACACACACACACACACACACACACACACACTCACACACACACACACACACACACACACACACATGCATGCCTGTAACCTATACCTACAATGATGAAAGTTGTTTGTTTGAATAAATGAATAACTGCACGGGCTATCAATCAAATAAATAAACAAACAGATACAAATATATACATGCAGCTAAAAACAAATTTTGCTTGTCAAATTTTCACTGTACAAATATGATATAATTACATGATATTGCAACACGCATACATACATGATATTTACAAATATCTCTATGACCAACCGACGAAATATATGTATGTATAATACATATAAACACACACACACGTATATATATATATATATATATATATATATATATATATATATATATATATATATATATATATATATATACATATACAATTTTACATGCATGTTGTTATTGCCATTAAAGCTGCAGCAAACCTGTGCAATTCTCACCTAGCTATGGCACAAATTATCATTGCTGACATTTTTTTTGAAGATTAACCATGGAAGGGTGCAGTAGAAAACTGATGCGAGAGAGGTTTCTACAGCCGCACGTGTGTCAACATGTTTCATGTCTGTCTCCACGGATGGAGGCAGATGCAGATACTACTGGAAGATGTCAAACTGTGCAATGAGCTGAGGTTATTCAATGGTACAACTGTTGCACTGCACACGTAACGATGAGGTCTTCTATTTGATTGCTCTGTGTACATGCACTTTTACACTGTACACCAATCCTGAAAATGTTAAGAACAATTTTTAAAAAATTAAATTTATGTTGAATATTTAAAAAAATTGCTCGAAACCAAGTATTTTTTATTATTTTTAACTATGGTGGCCATAAATCAAACCATGAACGCAGTTAAAAGCAAAAAGTTTCAAGCAGAATAATTTGTACATTGGTAGTTATTGGGGTGCTTTCAAATATTATCAATATTTCTTCATATTATATAATTTAATAGATAGCTCAAGATTCCTCCTGCCTTTATCTCATCAATTACCATCTTATTTGAGCCAAAAATAATTCCTGTCACCACATCAAATTTAATGTTTCAAGATAATTAAGAGAAGCATCAATACAAATAGAGAAAGCCAGACAGAAGAATAATAACCTAGTTACATATGTGATTGACTGCAGCGCTTGATGTAATGTGAGAATTTTGATGCTGTTGTAACTGTTGCAGTTGTAGCTGTTGTATTTGCTGTTGTTGCAACTGTTGTTGGTGATATTGCAATTGCTGCTGTTGCTGAAACATGTTGGAAGCAAGTGAGTTGATAGGAAGTACATTGTTTTCAACTGCAGCAATAGAGTTGCTGTTGCTGCTGAAGGATGACGGGTCACCTGATGCTGCGACATCATTCTGCGGCTGTTTGAAGAAGGTGTGTTGCAGCGCATACAACGGGGTGATGCGAGTTTTTGGGTCGTAGTCAAGCATGCGACTGACTAAATCCTGGAACTTGAGGTAATCCCGAACTGTATGGCCATTTTCTCCCCTTCGTCGGCCTTCAGGTCCACCTGTCTCTACTCCCAAAACTCTTTTAAGCAAGCGTGTCCCGGGAGGTAAATGCTAGGAAAAATTCATTGAATTAACTCAGAATCATGAGTTAATGGATATCAAAATATGATAAGTAACGAGTAGCAATATTAAGCCACAAACAAAATGCTAATAAAACTAACTACCTTGTCACTCGAAATTTTTGGAACATAATCACCGGTGATTGTTTTTTCAAAAAATTTTGATGTCTTCGGAGCCATGTCAAGCATCTCCTTGGGAGGAATGCCTAGGACTTCAACAATTTTCATCATTTGGTCATACTGTTTAGAATCAATGGATGAAATATATTTTTTAAGATAGCAATTTAAGGGGAATTTTATAACGTGAAATACTACTAATAAAAAAAATAATTTAAATAAGATGGGAACACTGCAAAATCATGACTAAACATCAGACCTCATTACTGCCAGCAAAGAGTGGCTCTCCCACGTGCATTTCCACAAGAATGCATCCCAGACTCCACATGTCGATAGCCATATCGTATGCCAAACCGAGCAAAACTTCAGGAGACCTATAGAATCGAGACTGTATGTACTGGTATATCTGGATAACGTGGGGTCATGTGTCGTTCAGAATGTTATTTGGCTATAAGTTCTCTTCAAAAGTTATGTAACGTTTATCAATTAGGTTGATACATAATTTTTGAAGACATAAAAAGACAAAAGTAAATTTTGAAAAATTTATTTGTGAAATTTTAAAAATATTAATCTATTCATATCCAACAGGTTTGGTGGACTAAAATTTAAATTTTTTACCTGTAACCTACCTAATGAGAATCAGTAATTTTACAAATTTAAAAAGATGAAAAGGATAATTAGATGAAGAGACCATTGACTAACCCGATTTCCTATTTTGCAAGAACTGCCGAAGTCGACAATCTTGATAGATGAACGTTTAGGATTGCAGAGAAGAATATTTTCCGGTTTCAAATCGCAATGTATAATGTTCAGACCAGGCAGCGAGAGGAACCTCAGGGCCATGCAGAGTTGTTGGGCAAATTTTCGGGTCAAGTTCAAGGACACTCCTCGAAAGTTTGTGTTGCGTAAAAGGTCGTAGAGGTTGTAGGACAGTAGCTCGAATACGAGACATAGATGGTTACGATATTGGAAGTGTCCCTTCAACCGAACTGTTCAAAAGAAATTTAACATGAGGTGTAAATCATATTGAACCACTTTTAAAAAAAAACGATGCCAAATTTTTATTCATGTACTAAGATGCTGAGTGTATAAATTTTAAGAAAACGTTATGTATAAGTAAACAAGTAATTTATATGATAGTAAATATGCTACATGGTTACAAACCGATGTAATTTTTAGAATCAATTTCTTGTCTGTTCATAAGTTCGAGCAGTGAAACTTCAATCTGCGCCTGATTGAAAAACGGCTTCTTGTTCTTGATGATTTTGATGGCCACATGCTCGAGCTCAAGTGTGTCATAAGCTTTAACAACCTGTATGCAAATGTGTGGATGTTTATGTGTCCATGGATGTACGCACGTGTGCGGATGTTTATGAGTCCGTGGATGCATTTGTTGTGCGTGGGTTCTCATGCTATTCATCTCCCAAAAATTTCAATGCAATAATAAGACACCCAAGTTAATATCTGTGTAACATGTGCATTATTTGAATTCTTGGGTAGAGCAAATAGCATTTATACGCAAGTTATTTCTTAATCCGATGATAAATATCCCGTTTCTTTAATTATTTGCTCAAAATATACCAGATATAACTTGAAATAATTTTGGCAATGTAACTATATAACTATAATATTATAACTAGATATCATCTTTTCATAATTTAGCCAATCTATCATATACTAATTAACCAATTCAGCCAATAAATGCATCCTTTACAATTTGATATCTTAATAAAGATCAGAGAGCATTGCAGGTAAGTTCAAACCTGTCCAAACGATCCCTTCCCGATGACCGAATCAATCTGGTACCTGTCCAACCAGAGCTCACCCTGGGTGACGATATAATCATGATTCTCATCATCGTAGCCACTGTTAAACTGCGAATTGTCATTCTGTGCATTCTGTCGGACCTTCAACACTTCATTTGCCATGGCTGCTGCAGCCTTCTCCTTCGCCTTCTTCTCAGATCGAGTCCTCTTTCTGTGGTAGTACACCTGATTGCAAAAAAAAACAACAAAAAATTGTACAAGGAAATGACAATATTATTAACAAAAATCATGGAACAATAGAGATAACAAAGTAAATATATATAAAATTTTGATTCATTCATATATAAAATTGTTGCCAAAGACTAGTAAGATAGAAACATTATCATCTCTCTTCTGTTAAAAATGGCCATACAAAATTTATAAATTAATTAAACGGAAAACAATTAATAAAAAAATAACACTTATACAATCACCAATTCTCTTACACTTATATAAAAACATATCAGCCCTTAAGATTTTCTTCAGTTAAGATTAATTAGTAATAACAACAGCGTCAAACATTGCTTATTTTTGACCTTTATTCTATGTGGCCTATATTTAAAAAAATTTTTTTTACTCAACTTTAAAAAAAGCATGCTCTATTCTCAAGTGCCTTGAAAATTTTCAAGTTTGTACAGGTATTTCATACTTCCATTACAGTTCAATCTTCAATGTGACAAAAAAAAACTATGAGACTCTGTTCAGATTGATCTTCAATATTTGGATGTTAATAAAAAAAATAAATATAAATTAATTCAAATGAAAAATTGATTGGACATAAAAATGTTTTAGTGTTCTATCAATATTCTCGATAGCATAAACATGCGTATGGAAAAAATATAAATAAATAAATAAATAGATATACATTATTTTAAGGTTCAGTTTTTCATTTTTACAAACTTTGTGTGAATTAATGAAGATGGAGAAAGTTAATTGTTCAACCAGGGTGGTGGCTTGAACTTAAATATTCAAATTCAAAGTTCCATCAATAAATTATCACCAGTCATCATAGTTAACAGTGGCAGTGGTTATAACTTTAAATTTGGAATTAATACAACCACACATACGCACACGCACACGCACTAACAGAGAGAGAGAGAGAGAGAGAGAGAGAGAGAGCGAGAGAGAAAAAGAGAGAGAAAGTAATAGACATTAAATTACAGTTACAGTTGGCATTTTATTATTTTTATAACCTAGCTATAATAACTTAGTGTGTGATATACCATTGATATATCATCATAACTGTACCTATTATGCATATAAAACTGGGGTGCATGAATTGGCTATTCATTAATAATGATGACGACGACGATGATGATAAATCATGTTTCTTTGAAACTGTTACAAAAAACTAGTAACGATTATTACAAATAATAAGCTAGATACTTTTGTTATAACAAATTGAGATACATTTACATCATTTGCCAGTATTTCAAGTATGTTGAAAAAAAATCAGTATACAAAAAAATTGCAATCAGTTTGATTGAAAGATCATAGTATCATCATACCAGATGTTACTACCAAGTTCCTATTATAACCAGCTGCTTCTCTACTTATTCATACAAATTTTCATTTTGAAAAACACACATACACATAAGCGAACACAACCCACCCACATACACACACACATACACACGCACGCACACAAACATGTAAACATGAGCACATTTCTATATATTCCATAAGAGAGATGCCACGAGCAAGATAAATAACAACATCCAACAACTTAATAAAGGACAGATGGCTTTAATGTTATTATTCCTCAGGTTAATTCCAACAGCTTTTTGGTCTACAAATTAAAAAAGTCTATTTTAAGTTTGCATTAATTAGAAGAAATAAGCTCCTTAAAGAAGAATAATACCTCAGATGTGCTTATGTCTAATTCTAATTTACTTACTGAAGCAACATTTGAGCATGTGATAGTGGCTGGCATTTACTGTTTACAAATCCCACCAACAGTTAACAACAGCACAAGATTGTTCTTCATTTCAAGGTGAAATGAATTAAAAATAACAATTTATGATCCTTTTTTTTCTGTAAATAGTTATTCAAATGTGTGAAGAACTAACTTGCATGAGCAGCGCTATGGGAATGTTTTTAAACTGCTGCAATAAGTTACAAGCGATGATGTGCATGGAGAAGAAAAGAGGGATGGTAATAATGTAACAACAACAACAACATGCCAACGTGAAGTATATAACATACCCTGCTATGAATGAAACTTACATATTATCACATTGGAAACAATCTGATTATGTAGCAAAAACTTATTCATAAAAGGAACAATTTTAACTATCATCATCTCGTCATCGTCATCATCATCATCAGTATTATAGGACTGACTGCGAAAGAATAGCAGGAAACATTGCTCAGGAATATGCAACAGATTAAGCTTTGTTGATTATAACTCCAAATCATCATTTACTATACCCTACTAGCTTTGTCTTGGTTAACTTTAATAAGATGGCGGTAAGAGCATTTTATCTAATAAGAATAAATCATCTTGCTGGTGTAAGATGCAAGGTATATATATAATACCAGAATATACATAGTTATAACGTTATTTTCAGTGTGCATACATGTAACAAAATAAAATAAAATGCCCCAGGCAGATGACTTAACCAACCAATCAGCCAACAAACTGGCCAATAAATTCTGAACACAACAGCACAGAGGTTTAAATAGAATAGGCAGCAGTCATTCATGAAAAAAAAAACATATTTAGAACCCATAAAACAAATGCTATGGCTTGAAATTAAATAGCAACAATATTTATTATCCTATATGGCTATATCCATGTTTACATGGATGTTGTATATATATATCTATATATGTATATTTAATAAGTATTTTATATTATATTTATTACACGTAGGCCTGTACTTAATTACAAGGTTTGTAACTCTATTTGTATATGTCTACTTATAATATTCTTAACAGATTTACAATAAAATGTAAACCGATAAATAAATAAAAAAAAGACAATTAACATTACATCATGTTATAGATGCCATTGTATAATTACTGTGAATGCATGAATGAAAACCACCACATTACATGCAATGACCATCCTTATTATTATTATTATCATCATCATCATCCTGATCCTCTTCATCCAACATTACATCATCTCCATCAGCACCCCACATCACATCACTTGACCTGCAACATAAAACACCACCAGACATTAATTAACCTCATTGATGTGCTTATATGTCTTAATAAGGTCGACACTCATCTTTCTCAGAGGCGCAGTCCTGGAGTCCCTATACATGGAACTGATGACCTGATGATGGTGGATACTTCCGTTGATGGCATCTATCTGCTCGATCCCATTCGTCACATCCATCTGGTGGTGGTGGTGATGGTGGTGGTGATGTTGGTGGTAATCAGTCGGCTGCTGTAGACGATGGTGATGTTGTTGATTCTGTAGTAGATGCTGTTGATACTGGTCTAAATTAAATGGATGAATGAAATGTTGTTGTTGATGTTGCTGCTGCTGTTGTAATTGTTGTTGCAATTGCTGATGCTGTTGCAGGAGATGCTGCGATTGCAAGCAGAATAAATTCTGTGAGACGATGGCTAGATCGGTGTTTGGACAATTAGAAAGGCTACCAACGGTCTCACTGCTGAATAGATGATTATGGTTGATGTTGATGATGTTATTACAATTACCTGCAAAGTTGTTTATATTATTACTAATATTATTATTGTTACTACTGCCACTGCTATTACTGCTGTTACTTAAATTATTAATTTGATTAAACTTGACTAAGTTTTCAATGATTTGCTGCTGCTGCTGCTGTTGCTTTTGTTCATATGTTGTATCCAGTCCTAGCATAGAGATATCTGTAACAACCATAATGTCATCGTGTAGTGTCAACCAATCTATAGCCTCTGTAATGATGATAGTTGTTAATAGTTATCAATTTTAATTATATTTCTAGTTGTAAATTAACAATTAGCATTAACAATTACTGTTTGAGATCAAACTAATTAAAACCAAGTAATGTCTGTGTATCCTGCCATATAAATCGAAGCATAGGATTAATCAAGTTAATTTGAAAGTGCAGTTATACATGGAAATACATTAATGGAAAAGCGTTAATAATAATAATAATAATTATTATTATTTTTATTATTTATTGTTTGGATAACATTGAAAAAGGTTAAGAGTGAGAGAGAGGGAGAGAGAGAAAGAGAGAGAGAGAAAGAGAGAGAGAGAAAGAGAGAGAGGTTTAATAAGAAACTTAATCTCATCACTCCACTAATAATGGTAAACATTATTAAATGTTGTTCTTAGCATAATAGCTGCTGTTGGATATAATATCCCTTCTTTGCTAAGATAAAAACAAACTAAATATCCCTATTCATTCGTATGCCTGAATGCATTGTAAGCATAAACAACTAAAGATAGGAGAATCTAATGAAAATATTGTATTGTAAATAATATTAGATAATAATAATATTATTGTAGTTAATGTTTTTTGTTGTTGTAATAAAAAAATAGCTATGATAGGTGGTGAAAGTGAAAAAAAATATGATGACAATAACAATGATGATAATGAGCAAATGATAAATGATTGGTGGTGATGAAATGAGAGATGATAAGGCCGGTAACAATAAGTGATGATGTAGAAGGCGATGGTGAAGATGAAGATGATGAGGATGATGATGATGGAACAAGACGGATGAGCAGTTTAGCATGTCAAAGTGTGTCACGCATGGATGCATTCCAAGAGAGCAACTGGACTGTTAAACAGCTGCCGTCAACTAAACATTTGGCATCTTACTCACTGTGGTCATCATTATCATAGCCATAGTCAACATCATCTTCTTGGCTATTATATAATGACCATTATCACCCTAACCAACAAGTTATAAAATCTAATTAAGTATGATTATCACAGATATACGTGTACAATCCATACTCCTGCATCATTTCAATTTTTGAATGAAACAACGATCAGCACAAACGTACACAAATTTGTACATACGCAGATAAAGACGCACATACAAGCGTACCAACACACGAATACAAATGCAAATTTGCATACTTGGCAGGCAGACTTCAAAGCATTTTTAAAATGCAAATATTTGTGCATATAAAACTGCACATACAAGCCCACATATAAACAAATGCATGCACACACGGACACCAAAAATCATGCTCTGTTTGCATAGCCTGGAGACTTCTACTTAACAGATGTCGAAACAGACAAGTAAACAAACAAACGAGTAGACGCACGGGCAGACAAACACATAAACAGACAGAAAAAAACCAGAGATACAAAAAATGGGCCTAGCAACAGACACACAGACATACATTCAGCCAGAGAGACAAGCAAATAAATACAAAATCAGAAACACATAAATAGACAGACATACAAACAGACAATCAAACAGACAGGCGGACATTTGCGTTTCATGATCTCAATATTTATATTTCCATGACCATTATTAAAATGAGTTATGTAAATACATTGGCCAGTACCTGCAAAAACAACAGCAGCAATATAAAATAGTTATAAAATGGCAGGAAGTTGAATAAGCACTAGATCTAACAGTTGTTGTGCTAGTAGATACGCCACTATAACACAAAGAAGAGTCTAATTTTGTGTTTATTTTACTATTATTACAAATAAATATCTGCTCATAACATTTGGTGTGCATATTGATTAGCGTGTGTGCGCGTGTGTGTGTGCATATTGTTGTTGCTATATATATATATATATATATATATATATATATATATAACTAAACATTTGTATTTTTATTCACTCGAACATATTTCCGTTAATTTTAATAATTAGTTATTGTTTGTTTAGATTTTAATCATGGTAAATTCCTGCCATCTGCCTAGCATGCAACACAACATTTTTTTCATTTTTATATTTCACTTAGATAAAAAACATTACTTCTTTAGCTATGTCACACAAATAATAATCTCTTCTATTAAAAATAATGTTTGATCCTTTACAAATAAACTGGCCATTTGAACTTCTTACAACAAAGCATCAATTGAATGAAAGATTCTCTGCTATTAACACCAAGCAAACACAGGTAAACATATAAAACTATGATTGTAAGAATGTATTCAACTCTTTATTGCCTATCCAAACAATGAAGTTAATTGTTAGTCAATAGTTAATAAGTTAATAATTGTCAGTAAGCCAATAAACTTATTATTACAATACAACAGTTCACCAAACCATTATGATATTCTTCTTCTTATTATTATTTTATGACCATTTTATTGTATGTTTGTTCATATCATTAACGGCATTAATAATGACATCTTTTTCTATTTTCCAGTTAATTTAATGTGAAAGAATGTAAAATAAAAAAAGAAAAAAAGAACACATCATAAGAATGCATGGAATAAATTATACAGCATCGATCTCCAGTGATAGAGAGAGAGAGAGAGAGAGAGAGAGAGAGAGAGAGAGAGAGAGAGAGAGAGAGAGAGAGAGAGAGAGAGAGAGAGAAATGGGGGGGAGATAGAGGGAGAGAGAGAAAGGAGAGAAAGAGCGGTAATATAAGCAATCAAAAATATAAAAATATATATATACATATTTATTTATTTATGTGTGCTGTGTGTGAGAGAGAGAGAGAGAGGAGGGGGGAAATATGTGTGTATAAGTGTGGGTTCATGGTAAATTTATGCATAAAAACCGATTTATAGAAAGAACATAAGAAAAAAATGCTGTGAGAGAAAAATTGAAAAAAATTTAGATAAAAAAATGTAAATAAATAATTTGCTAGGTAAAGATGTTTCAAAAAAAATAAAAAGTTTGTAGATGGAAAGAGTTAGGAAAGAAAGAGAGAGAGAGAGAGAGAGAGAGAGAGAGAGAGAGAGAGAGAGAGAGAGAGAGAGGGAGAGAGAGAGAAAGAGAAAGAAAGGAAAAGAGCAAAAAATAGAGGAGTAAGAGAGAAGAGGAAAGTGAGTGTAGAAAGATTAGTAGAAAAAGAAGTATTGCAGCCCAACAGCAATGTGGAATAATTTGTGGAATGCTATAGAAGACAAAGATGATGAAGGGAAGGTTGAGATGGCATTGTGATAATGTTATCATACCTTATAATGATAATGATGATGATGATGGAGCTGATGATAATTGTGATTGTGATAACGATGACATAGGTGATCATGATCAAGGTGAAAACATTTTAACGATTCTAACACTTAGAAGTATCTGAAGATGAAGCATAGAAAAGTTTGCACCACATGTTCTCAAGGTATGAAGGGAAGAGAAAAATTAAGAGATGTACATTCATAGGTAATGATTCAGACAAATGTACGCAATTACACGACATACGCAATTACACGACATACGCAATAGTACACCAAGCCATACTACAACAATACACTGCCATGTTAACAGCATTGGCATCAATTTTTGGAGAGAAAAAAAGTTCTTCTTCTCTGCATAACCAACCAATCAAATAAATTTAGCCAAAACAAACAATCCAGCAAAGAAATCATATCATCTCTGAAATAAAATAACACAACGCCATTGAACCTTATCTAATCAGTAGAAAATGAAAAAAATGCACAAGGATAACTAATTTGATTTACATTCACATAAGTGTACAAAAAAACCAGTCTTAAACACACACGCACTCACAAATACACACGCACATCACAAACACACACACTCACAAACACACATACACACACATGTGCACAATAAAATAGTAAAAAGTCTACAAAAAAATATTTAAACAATATAAAGAGGGAAAAAATTTTCCACAAAGAATAAAAAAATACAGAAATTCCAGTACATCTTCCTGGTAAAAAAAAATAAAATAGCAAGAGGCAAACCATACATATATCAACATCACATACAAACATAACTGCACACAGTGCACACATTGATGTAGGCACATATACATTAGGACTCTTCATAGTTTTTGTACATTAACTACATTACATAGTGTGCAGGTTAATATAGTAGAGGAACAATCATTCACGACTATCAATGTATTTAGATCAGAACGTGTAATATTGTTAACCATTTAAGTCAGCATCCATTTAAATATTACATAATTTGTAAGAACATGTATATTTAACACTACAATTCAATGAGCAAGCATATATTTTTCATATCCATAGCGTGCAGTAGCAATAGAGTAATACATCCTTTTTATTGATAATATATTATACCTAACATGCCAAGAGCATGTTAGATATAAAGGAAAATAAGTATACATCAAGCAGTATTGCATTTAGATAATGTATGTTTAAAAGTATATATATGCATGCCTGTATACTAATATGTACGCCTTCATACATTCACTATACTTTGATGTGTAGATGTATGATGTTTTACGTATAGGCAAAACGTGTATGTAACATGTCCATACATTATTATATAGATACATATGCCCGAGCCTGTATGTAGAAGCCAAATATATGAAGAGTATAAGTAGCACTGCATTTTTGTTTGGGTGCGTCACGTGACAGAGGCATGCATATGAATGCATGCTTACAGGCGTGCTATTTAAAGAAACCTGGCTTAGCAACATCATGATTGGCTGACTGGCTAGAGCTTCGTGAACATGTCAATCAAATCATCAATGGTTTGGTACGTTAATAATAATTATGACTGAAACATGCCGTATAGCCCAGCACAACAGTCTAACTTCATCACATCCGTGCATCCAATCTTTTTTTGCATTAACTTCGTGCTATATTTATGCATTATTAATATTATTTAAAGTGCAGCGTTGTATGACTGATGGTTTACATATAAATGCATGAATATGACCTCACGCAATGTGAATGTATCGTATGCATGAATGTGCGTTGAAATGGGCATACTCAAATATATAACAGAAATTGTGTAGAAGATACAGAATGGATATATTGTGAACTGCAGTATTTGTGAATGGGATAAGATGAATGCATAGTTTTTTTTAAATCTCCAAGTTGTCCAACAGAGGAAAATCTTTGAAATGAAGAGCATAGCCATCACTTTATTATGTGATAATTATTTAGCAAATTATATGACATGCTCGCACAATACGTCATAACAAATGGTATTTCAAATATGTTAGATGGCACTACAACTCTAGCTATGTTATATATAATGTGAAGAAACAGAAAGAGAGAGAGAGAGAGAGAGAGAGAAAGAGAGAGAAAGAGAGAGTTCTACGTCCCATCAAAGCATTAAATTTTGAAGGTTGCTCCACTGAATTAAAAAATGAAACAGGAAAATTTTGAAAGAAACCATTTTTTGAGCATTGAAGGTGCCTGATGTTAAAAACTTAATTGCAAGGAAGTTAATAGTACATTTAGTGAACAGCGCCATAATAACCAACATAGATGCACAAATGATAGAATTATTAAAAAATATATAAAAAAAAACTGAAAATAAAATAGGCATCATAAATTTGCTCATCAATGTTAAATAACAACCACTAGTCATTTATTTGATAACCATAAAATACTTGATTGAGTTATTTGATTCTAAAACTGTCTTTTCAAACAATTTTTAACAACAGAATCATCCAAAACCACCTTGTTAAATAACTTTTAACAACCATTGAGATTCTCAAAAGTTGCTCAGTTAACATAAGTACACTATGAGCATACAGATGTAAGCAAAAAACATCTGACAAAATCTATCAACCAAATCCAATTGAATGTAGTGAAATCAGTAAGAAACAATCTATAAATGAAGGTCTCTACTATTTGATCAGTGAAGAAGATAATTTATATCCACAGTAGAGATTTACATCTAAGGTGCACCACTTTCATGTTATGAAATAAATCACCATAACAAATTTTGACAATTTTGATCACTAAAATTCTATGCACAAGATGAAGAATATTTTGCAGAAATACTCATAGGTACATGAACAACATACTTGTCATGATCATTATATTCATCATATTAGACTTACTTCTATACTAGATTTAAACTTTTCAACAAAACCTAACTACAAAGGGTAGTCAACCCATTTTTCAACCGTTTCCAAAATCTTTTAGTTAATTTCTTTGCATTTTATTTATTTTTTTACAATTGCCATCCTTTGAAAAACCTCAAGGACATAACTCAGACGTCACTAAGCTAGAATTTTAATTTTCTATTCGTTACATTTATAAGTGCGTGTGCGTGTGTGTCCGCATGTCTATGCGTTTGCATAATATAATGCTTCCAATGGACATGAGTGTATGAGTTAATTCACATGCAAAACATCTACATTAAAATACGCTGAAAACATCTACCCAACAAGAATTCAGATTTTAAATGAACAGTTTCATCAGCACAAGCAATGCTAACAATGGGAAAAACGGACTTGCTGTTGATGAAACAAAAAAAAAAAATTATATTTTAATATTTTCTGCATGTGAAGAGGTCGCCAGTTATTAATCATAAATTCGAATGATAGCATCCCATACCCACCCATACAACAAGCAAATACATTCTATTAGTAAGCACAATTCGTCAACACCTCAATTGAAAAAAATTAAACACAATATTGATTGAGTAAAGCCTCTTGTTATATATATATACATCCTGAACTATATGACTAACAACTATATTAAACATGACTCATCCTATCTAAATGATAGGATGAATGAATATGTTGGTATTTATCATCTCCTTCTTCAACATCATAATCATCATCATAATGATCATCGTCATTATCATCATTGTTACCATGGTCATCACCATTATTACAAATTAAAACATGCACTTTTCATCATATCAGTTTATTAGCTGTACCTTCCAACAACGAGAAATGATGATGATGGGAATTGATAATAAATATAATGATGAATGAAAAGTAGTGTACAAATAATTTGTGTTTCAATTGTTGAATAAATATATAAATGAATGAAAAATGAATGATTGATTGATTGAATGAATGAATGAATGAATGAATGAATGAATGAATGAATGAATGAATGGATGGATGAATGGAAGGATGGAGAAGAAAAAACATCATGAACTAATTCATGGATCACAATTTATGATTGGAAAGACCCAGACAGTGTGTGCTGCTAATCATCATACAGACATATAAATGATAAAAAAAATACCAAATTAAAAAACATCATCCTCTCCACTATTCTTATTCTTGTTAGTAATGTTTTACAATGATAACATCATTACACCCGCCAACACAAAGTTTTCTAAAATGTTATTTATCCTAAAATATTATTTGCACTAAATCAAATATCTCATATAATTCAATAGAGTAAAAGGTAAAATTTTAGTAATATCAGTAAAAAAAACAGCCATAGTAAAAATACTACAATATTTATTCAACATTTACATCCAATTGTATCTGTATTCTATTAAGAAATACAGCTAATGAATGACCACAGAGCATCAATATAATTAATTATTAATGCATGCCTCATTCTCTCAACTATTTAAATTTAAAAAAAAAATTAGTTTTTTAATTTGCAACCTTGGGATGAATGCTAAAGTTTAATAGAATATTTAGACAAGCATCCAGGTGTGATATGGAGGAAATTTAAGACAGGTAATTATTTATGTAATTATTTATAATTTATTTGTTTGTTTGTTTTATACATTTAGTTTTGCCTAAACAGATCAAATATTGATAAATAAATAAAACCAGCAAATTAATGTCTTATCTGTTACTCACAATTTGTGACCAACATCTATGGAAAAATATAATTTACTACATAACAACATTCAGCAACATCCTGTTCAAAACTGTAGCTAGCTGCATTAATTTTAAACAAATTTTTAATATCCACATTTTATCTACAGTATAAGATTACAGTGACACAAATACCAATCACTAACTCAATTTAAAACAATTCACATCTGCTGTGCTGCCAGAAAATAAATGTTGATCTGGTAACAGTTAAGATTTTTTGTGATTATTTTAAAAATTCAAACTGAGAGTATTGACAAAATAAATAAAAATCATATTTGGACATGTGATAACTGGCAAGGAAAAATAAATAACTTGATAGCACAGTACTAATTGTCTATGCAAATGACAAATTATTAATTAGTGGTAAACTGAAGCATTCTTTTTCATTAACTAGCCTAACACAGGAGAAACCTAATAATGAAGCATCAAAGAAAGAACAACTTAGAATGGAACAAATATATTTTATGCCTAACAAAACAATGATACAATAGTCCCACTTTAGACTTTAGAAACTAAATCTACTTGACTTATTGAAAAGAATTATATAGTTGAATGACAAAATATCAATATATAACACACACATATAAATAGAAAATAGTAATTAGTAGCAAATAGAAGCTCTGGTAATTAGTAACAAATTCAAGTATAATTTATATTTTAATTTAGATAATTTTCACCAAATCCAATATTTGGTAAAAAAAACCCTTTTAAGTAGTAACCCCATCTTAAAAGTGCAAAATAAGTTTGACAGGCTTAATTGAAATGCTTGGCTACCTGTGTAACTGTAATGTAGGTAACAAGTAGACATGTAATTTTAATTTTGATATAATAGCAGAACTGACACTAACTTAAACCTTTAAAATAAAAAATGTTGCATAGGAAGCCATGAATATATAAAAAATAATAATATTAGAATAAAGGAGTCTATTAGAAAAGACTAGTAGTCAAGTCAGTGTCTAGCTACAAGTCTAGTAGTCTAGTCCTAGTCTAGTATCAATTGAGAATTGAACTTGTTTGGTGAATGAGACTGTAAATTTCACACATGTGGAAATGGAAAGTTAATAAGTGAAATAAATCTCTAATAATATAAGCTACATTGGTTTGAAATTAATCAGCACTTATAATAACTAATCACAAGAAAGTTGCAAAATTTTAAATAAATCTGTGCAGTGAATAAAAAAATAACAAGCATTCATCAATTCATTTTCATAATTTCATGGTGATATTCCAATTATTTGCCAGTTAATTGTAAAATAAAATAAAAAATTAGCAACGTGGTTAAATGAAATTTATCACATAAATGTTAGAATTTAATTAAAAAGTTATCAAATGGCAAGAAATAAATAAAATTTACTTCTCATAGCAGCGACATAACGATTCTATATATAAACACGACGATAGGTGGCAAACAAGTGCATCACACCGACTCTTGTTTTGATCATTTTCCAGCTCAAACTCGATTTAAAACGATTAAATTTCACCTTTTCTCGTTCAGTAATTTTTAAATTATTCGATCCAAATATTTTGAAAAACGGACGACAACAAATAAATAAATATTTATTGATAAACAAGACAAAAAATTTAAAACATGCTTCGTCAAAGGGGCGGGGCTTTACCTCATTTTTATTCGTAATATTATAATGAGGCCATTACCATAACAACGCTCAGCCAATCAGAACGAAGCTACGTTCGAAAATTTAAGCTCCATTTTTAGTGTGAAACTAGTTGCAATTTCGATGTTATATTTTCGGTCGGATCACTTGTACAATTTTGCATTATTTAGCCGGGCAAATATTAACTTATAATAAAATTGTTTATTGCAGTTGCTTTCAAACAAATAAAAAACTACGAAATACCATAAGACCTAATTTTTAAGGAACTTGAACGCAATAAATCATTATTAGCCAGCATTTATCATAGCAGTTCTTTGCCTTTCTTTCCTAAGAGTTTCAGAGAATATTCTCCTTGATTCTTCAAGGATGGACGTGTAGATGGTCATGTCCTCCTCTCTTGATTTCATCGTACTTTGCAAGCTGGCCTTCAGTGCTTCAATCTCATCCTTCTGTATGTCTATTCTGTTTTATTTTCAAAGCAAAAATCTTTAGCAACATGTTGAATGTTGAATTATCACAACCATAAGTACTACGTATATCATTAGATACGCGCGATCACTAAAATATAAAACAAATTTGAATTTTCTTAATCTTCAAAGGAGCTTTTAAACATTTGACAAAAACTCATGCTGTACAGTGTACATGTATGTGCAAGGGAAAACCAACGCACAATGACCTCGAGTATATGATCGTCTAACTCTTTTGAATTTGAACCAGGCCCCAAGACAACAGCACTTGTGCTTGTCTGGACCGAATCGATTGAGACGCCCGTGTGGGTAAAACACCAAGTCGAAATAGTGAACTGGCGATCAAAAATAATTTACCAAGCAACGACGTAGAAATAACAGGGCTTGGCGGCCTCTGCATTAGCTTTCTGTTTAATGAAATAATGACCATGCTTACTTCATAAGTAGGTCTTCTTTATCGTTTTGCTTCAAGCAGTCACCACCACCAATGTATGTTGGCATTCTGGAATGCTGCGGTCCTGGGACAAATGTTCAGTCAAATCAGTTTTAGTAAATTATTTTCAACTATTAATAATATTAAACTATTATGATAATAAGATTTACCTTTTTCTAACTTAAGTTTGCCGATTTGTTTTTCAAGAGCTGCGTTGATTTTCAACTGGTTCTGTAACTTGCTCTGTAGTTCTGTGATCTGTGTCATCATCTGCTGTGATCTTATTGCAAAGTGTTTATACAACTAATCAACTTTTAACAGAAAAAACATCAAAATATTAAAATTTTTTTTAGCATTGAATATTGCGTTGCAGATAATGTCATCATTTAATATACCTGCTTTCCAAAACTTTGAGCAGTTCATTCAGTTTATCTCTTTCAACGGTCACTGCTAAATATAATGCCGTCAGTTCTTCATATTCACTGTCTCAAAAATTAAATGTGTGAAATTTAATTACTGCATGAACAACCGATGAAATCAACAAGTGAACTATTTTCATTCAATGATTAGTTAGTATGAAAATGAAAGTTTACTCCAAAAAATTAAGTAATTTTTTCGATTTGCATTCACGCCACTCAACTGATTTGTATGGCGCGTCATTATGTTATCATTGGCGAATGATCGTCTGATAGTTTGTAATTGGGGTTCGTCATTCAGTGAATCGGGACTGGCCGGTCTGTCTCTTGCCTGCTGATGTTGCGCTGGCTGAATCTTCAAATGTAACACAGCATAATATAGCGCGGTGCTTTATCATTTAAACACTTAACAAGCGACAGTTAAACTTCTATTATGAAATACTCATTCAAATACCATCATTTGCGTATTAGTGTCGGTATTATTTTGAAGTGCCTCTTTTAATTTCCTCTCCAGTTCAACTAATTTGAATTCTTTCTCGGCTACTAACTTTTTGTACTGCTCTATGGCATTGTTCTCGACTTGCAACCTGTTCAGCTGTTGTTGTTATCATTGCTGTTTTATTATTTCTTATATGAATAAATTGTCAGAAGGTTGATGAATTTGGTAAATAATTAAAAATGTATATATAAACCTCGTTTTTCTCGTTTTGTTTGTCCTTTTTCATGTTGTTGGAATCAGTTAACAAGGCTTGCTTCAGCTGATTTTGTTGTTTCTGTTTTATTTGAAAATTACATTTGTTTTGTTTTCTAACTAAACTAGTCGCTAATATAAGTTTTAAAATAAATTAAAGAAATTAAGTATAAATAAGAAATGTTGACCAGGAGTGCCTCAACCAGTTCGTCATCATGCTTCCCCTTTTCCATCAACATCTGCACCTGATGTTTTAATGTCCTCGACTCATTTGACAGCACTTGGTTCCTACGTTTTCATTTGAAATTCATTCAGGATGTCGCCAATTTTAATTATTGTGAAACTAACACTAAAACTCAATAGCGCTTAGTGCTGAAGAAGAATGAAATTTCAAAAATTGATAGTAACGGTCGTAAACATTTTAATAATCTCACTGAAGCTTAACACACCTTGCTTTGCTAGCTTCGTACTTCTGTTTCAAGTTATTTAAATCTTGCTCCATCTCTTTCAAATCGTTTTTCAGTTTCTGTAAGATCGATAAAATCTAAAATTATTAAAAACTTTTAAAAAATTCGTAAACTACACATGAACTAAATGGCATCAAATTTATTCTACGAAAATTTAAATGTTTAATCAGTCAATTTATTTCCGCAGCATTAGAAGGCACTATTTTTAACAAACACACGGCTTACGCATGAAGACACCTTGCAAAATATTTCTTGTACACGCACGTGCACATTTCAAGGCATTATATTCTACTTGAGCCCAAGCATTTTGGCAAAAGACTGAGCGCTTTATTACTTTGTCTACTCGTTTACAAAAGGCAAGCCAGAAAATTTTTTTTAATTTAAAAAATTTGTTTTTTAAATATTTTGAATATTTTTGAAAATCTTAAAAAAGATTTAAATTTAAATATTGAAAATTAAAAATAATACTTCGGTTGCTTCCTTCCTCTGTTTTTCAATCTGTTTTATTTTATCCTTCTGCTTGTCTTCGAGATTTGACGAAGTGGTATTGATGGTTGAAAGTGAAGAGAACGATGGCTGTGCTGGCTGGAGGCGCTGCTGTGTTGATGATAAACAATAAGAATCTTCATAATCATCGGAGGTGCTGTCATTTTTGTTCGTTCCACTTGACGTGATAGTCACTTGCTCCAACTGTTTCTTCAGTTCTGCTACCTTTGATTTGTTTAAATAAACTGTAAAAACAGGAGTGCTCTGGGAACTGATATCGACAATTCAAAAATGTTTTTGGACGCATGATTCGTTACAAATTCTACTTAATCATTGCCGCAAATCTGTTTTTGAAGTCAATGCACACTGATACATTACATTACAAAAATTAATGTTATTTTATAACATTTTTAAAATTGAAAAAATGAAAAAGACCTTTTTTTGTAAAGTGATGATTTGTTGGACTCTGCCTTTCCACGTACCTGGATTGTTCATCAGTGCTTGGATAGATGTGTTTTCACCAACTTCCTGCGTTAAGATCTGCGTGTGTGTATGTAAGGTGGATGGAATGTTAACTGAATGATAGATTAGACCATTAGTTGATGTAATCTGCGCAACAGTTTATATTTTGAGAGATCACGTCTAGTGGGGCGACGAAAATTTGATAAATCTTTAGCTTGGAATAAAATTGAACCTTGTTTAGCATCTTGATTTCATTTTTGTGTGATTGAATTTGATTCCTGTACTCGGCAACCTTCATTTCGGAGTGTTTCAACTTTTCTTGCAACACTTTTATCTCCTCGCTCTATCACCAATGATTTCAATAAACGAGTAAAAATTACTTTGCACAATGAATGCATTTTATTGAACGTCTAAAATACGTGGAAATACAATATGAAAAATTATTCTTTTGCAAATGATTTTACAATGAGATTAAAAGTTGAAGTTGAATTTGAGGTAGACATTTACTTTCAGTTCGAGTTCAGTTTTTTCAATTTCAGGGCTTAAAAATTCTTTTTTGTTTGATTGCATCTGCAACGTTATGGAATCAGTAAAAGCAACAAAAGATAAATGTTTAAGATAATAAATAAATGAAAATAAACACCTGTCTTTCGTGTTCACTACATTTCTTTTGTAGCTGTCTCACTTTATTTCTTTCCACTTCTATTTCAGATGTCTGTTCTCTTATTTTTTTCGATAGTTCAATTATTTTCATGGCAGCAGCGTCTCCGCTGTTTAAATTAATGCTTGATAAGGTTTTTTCATTCTCAAATTTATTTTGAATTCGTTTGATTTCTAAATCTTTTTCAGCTAACAATTTATACAATCGACTATTTTCATCTGTCAATTGCTAAAGTGATAAAAAATAAAATGATTGAAATTTATGAAACTCAAAATTTTATCTCAAAACATCACACAGCAAGGATATCTACAACAAAAATTAATGCTTTTTTATTTATTAGTCAACATTGAATTGTTATATTAATCAACTAAAAAATCATGAAAAAAACATTTTGCTTTAAAAAAACAAGTTTCTGCTAAATATAAAATAAAAGATAAAACTAAATTTAATTAATTATTAAATTAAATAAAAAAGACGAATGTTTGATATTTAGCATTATATTAATATAATCACATTTATAAAATCGTAAATTTTTCATTAAAACAAATAATATATAATAAATCAAAAACACTCTCAAACAAACTCTGATTTGTTTTTGAGACAAATTTACTAATTTTCTACAATTTAAAATTTTAAAATAAGATGGTTTGCTAGCAAGACCCACCCTCAACTTGTCGTTGACACTTAATTCATCACTCGAATCATCGTCCATGACTTTTTTTTTTCAAAATAAATTAACAAATAGGGAAAATAGGGCAGCTTTAAAGTTTAAATAGAATTTTAAGCGATTATAACAATTTGTGATCAAAACGTTGCTATAGCAACATAATAAGCCATGATAGCTTGATATTTAATATCAATCATCAACTTTTCTATTGTATTTGATATATGAAAAAACCATATAACTTATTTGAATATAAGCATATACACATGATAACTTAATTTTTAAGTTTTTTAATTTTGTTTCTACAGTTGATTAAAACAATCTATAAATACCAGAATAACTGTATAATATATTGATTCAAGAAAAGTAAAAAATAAAGTTTGATGTTTAGTTGTTTCAATAAATTTTGTGTTGATTTTTTTATCGGCTGGAAGGTCGTCCTGTTTTAAACTTCTAATTTCTTTTCCTAGAGAGAAGAAATAGGCGGGCATGCCGTTCACGAATGATGACTACCTTCCCACCTTTGAAGATTTACAGGTGGAGGAATTGAAGTTGTCTTCTGCACCTCTCCGAGCGGGCGCTCATCATTTTGGAAAATACTGTGACAACCAGTGCAAAGTGAGCCAGATTCAGGATTAGATTTCATTTAAAATTTTTGAAATTATTTTATTTTAATTGTATTTTTATCTAAATATAAAAAAGTTGTAAATTGTTTAACTTGGTTGTAATTTCATCTAAACTAAATATAATCTAGCAGGTCGCACAACGTTTAATTTTTAATATAATCTTATAATGTCTGATGTGTCACTGTTAAATTGTCAATGTTACTATTATTATTTCAATACAATACATTCTGCATTTTTTAATGTCGTGCGACCTGCTACAATGCAACAACAATAATGAATAAATTATGTTTATTATATCATTAATGTTTGTCTGCATTTTAAAAAAGGAATTTATGTTATGCAATGAAGAAGAAAAAGATCCTAGGAAATGTTTGAATGAAGGCAAGAATGTAACAAAATGTGGTTTGGAGTTTTTTAATAAAGTGAAAGACAACTGTGCTGTGGAATTCACTAAATATTGGAAATGTGTTGACCATTCTGATCATGATATGTCATTCAGACAGTTAGCTTCTACATAATTTTTAGTTACAACTTATTATAAATAAATTATATAGAATTTTATTTTCTATATAGGACATACATCACTTGTTTGATATTACTGATTTTTTTACTTATATTATATCTCAATATCTTGTATATGTTTTAGAATGGATTTTTATAGTGAATGGAAAACAGATTTATCAAATTTTAATGAACATTTTGTAACTTATTTATAATTTTTTTATCTAATGTTCATTGGGTGGTAGATTTTCAATATGGATTTCATGGCATTTTAAGTTAAAATTACGCATCTTATTTTTCCACTTTAAGCTGTACTTTAAAGTAAGAAATGCAATGATGTCACACATGCATGGGAATTCATCAAGTAGCAGATGAATGTTAATTGATTGCTGTGGGTGGTTATATATATATAAAGATGCAAATCCTTCCAGGTCAACTTAACGTTCAAATGCTATAGTTCAATTTTTATATAAAAATTCTATGAAAAACTACTTCAATATTTAAGGGTTTTGTTTTAAAACTTGATGGAAGATATAGTTCACAATTATTGATACTGCTAAGAGGCTTACTGAGCTAAAAATAAATCTTAGTGACTTCTGACAAGTTTTATGTTTTTATTGCAATTGTCTTAAATTTTAACCAGTGCTTTCCCATATGCTGACCTGTTTTTTTCATTATAATTTTGGTAATATTCTAAATTTAATCATTGTTTTTATGATACAAAACAGTTGCAGAAGGTTGCAGTCAGAATTTGACAAATGTATATTTGACAAGTTGGGACAGGAGCGCCCTCCTCTGGGCTACTTCTCGAAGATCAGAGTTCACAACACCACTCGTCCGAAACCTGAAAGAAAATTGAATTTGCCCGAGAAAGATCCCTTGTATGAGATTGGTCCTGATCTGGCCAATCCACCTCCATCTATTAAAACTGGATCAAGAATAATTTAAATTGTTGCTTGCACATTTTATATGCAACGTCTATGATTGTCAATTGTAATCTTCAAAGAAAAGAAGTAGATGAAAGTAGTCCTTATTAGTCTTATTGAAATGTTAAACATTGCATTACACTTTCGTAATTTGACACGGAATTAATAAATTTACGGCTTCTTGAAATGGTGAATGTCTTTTTGTTAAATCTTTTAAAAAGTATAAAAATGTTATGTGTGTTATTCATTGCGGGCATCATCTTATTGCGAAATTTACGCACTGAACAGGTCCTTTTTAATTCGATTTCGTGAACTACAACGAAGTTTATGAAAATTTAATTTTTTTTCCCAGTTTCTATGCATTGAACGTCTAATATCGCCCGTGTGTTGCGTTTAAACTTGATTTGATTTTATTGTTTCTGCTTCAAACTTAATCGCTAAAAGACAAAACTAACGTTAAATTTCAAGGGAAAAAAAATGAATGCTGATAAAATGTTGGAATTGCAAATGCAAGTTCGCCAAAATAGTGACGAGATGAAAAGTTATGTCAATGATCTGAATTCCTGGGAAAATGAAATGAAAGAGCAAGAGGAGCTGAACCAGAGGAGCGGAAAGAAAGATAATCGAGTAAAAATCATTCTTCATTATTTCTATTTCATATAAAAATTTTAGTAATACAATTTATTATAAAAAAAGAAAATGAAAGTACAGAGTAGCAGAAGAAGTAGGATAGAGTAATGCACTTGTGTAGTTTTGAGTTTTGGTGGCTGATTTTGTTTTTTAAACACTCCCAGTAACTAACTTAAAATTTATTCAATTTTTAAATAATGGCAACTTTGTGATTTGTTGATTCTATCTCTATAGGAGGCTGTTGTTAGTGTGAATAAAAGGTGGTTTTTATTTTACTTGCAAAGTCTTATGAAAACTATTTACTAGAGTGTGTCTTTTGAGTTATGGGTTATTTATAGCTGCACCTTTTATTTTTGTCAATGTGTACCTAGACATGGTGCTTCCAATATCAAGTTTTCAAATAGTAATAGATGTAGAATAATGAACATTTATTTTGTTGAAAAGTAAAAATTTCAACATTATACTTTTAATCATTTTTCTATGAAGATTATTTTAATGCAATTGCCAACACATCTCACTATAAAATTAATAAATCATTCTTAAATATATACACTTATTATTTTAGTTTATAATTTTTAAGAAATGAATTTTAATTGTTTGTTAACTGTTTGTTTTGACAACTGTAAATTAATTATTTTATTAATTATTCATCAAGAAACTACCTCCTGTCCGTAATAGGGCTCTGCTGAAGAACAAACATCCTCAAAAATTCAAGTCACCTAGAGCCAATCCGGACCAAAAAAGTGACAAGATAAAAGGATGGGATTATAAAGCCTGGGATAAGTTTGATGTTGTTAGTAGTATTTATAGAATCAATCAATCTTCGTTTAGCGTCCAGAGACCCAGTCCTCTGAAGTAGGACGTTGTTTTCTTTGCCATCAACTTTTTGCGCCAAATTAAACGATCAGTTGTATCTATTTCATTTAAATTTAGAGCTTTCATGTAGAACACATACTTTTAATCATTTTTCTATGAAGATTATTATTATTATTATTAATTATAGAGTAGTATTTATAGAATCCTTAATTATTTCAACAGTTCAGTTCTCATAACTTATTTAATTTCTTTGATTAATATCAACATGCATGTACGTATGTTTTTATCTTTCTTGATAGAAATTTTTTAACTGACAAGTTATTTTTGTGTTTATTGATTTTACGTTTAAAATAAAGTTTGTATATGTCATTCTTCTAAACAGGACAAAGCATGTGAAGAAATTGATGCAAATTCAATAAGTGATAAGGATGAAGATGAAGATGTTGTAAAGGAAGAGGTTAAAAGGTTAAAAGAGACTGCAGAAAAGTCACATGCTTTAAAAGAACAGGTAATTTAATGTTGCATGCTTATTTTTTACTTATTTTTTTATATAATTTACTTCAAAATTTTCTAATAATTCCATATTTATCTATAAAATAAATTTATGTTTAAATGTGATGAATGTCAGGGTAATGAATATTTTAGACAACAAAAATATGTGGAGGCCATAGAAAGTTACTCACGCGCTCTTATAATAGATCCGGATAACTCAGTTTTGTATGCTAATAGGGCTATGTCACTCATCAAACAAGGAAAGTCTGTGGCTACTTTCTCTATTCATGTTTTTGTTTTTTAAATATTTTGTTTCTGATATAACTATTTCATATTTTAATTCTTGTAATGTAATTTGTTATAAATAAGGTATGTTTTTAGCATAATTTTATCGCATAATTTCTATTGCTATACAATTTAAATGATAATTTTTTAAATGTTTCTAATTTACTGTGCTGCATTTATTCTATAATATTCCTTTATCTTATATTATTATATAACAACTTAAACATCTTGCAAGCAGTTCTGATTTCTATAGCTCTTAGCTACATGTAAGTTAGCATGGTACATAAATTAACACTCACCCCACAATGACAACTGATATTCACAACATGTGCCATACCCAAATGTAGATGGACAGCAGCCGAATCAGACTGCACCGAATCATTGACGATCGACCCAAAGAACGTGAAGGCTCTCCTAAGAAGGGGTACCTCGAGGATCCAATTGAAGAAATTTGAAGAGGCCAGGTTGGATTTCAGGGAAGTTCTTTTCTTGGAACCTGCCAACAAGCAGGCCAGAGTAGAGTTGGATAAGCTGAAAAGGGTTGGTCATTATTACGAAAACATTATTATTAATAATTATCATGAATTTTATTACAATATTATTAATAATAATTATGGATTTTATTATTAGTGGTAAATGTCATTATTATGATTAAATAGTGGCAACTAATTAACGATAATAATAATTATTTATCAATTGTAAAAGTAATCACCAATAAGACTGGGAAGTTTTCATGGTTCTAAGTAAAAGCTACTAGATTTTCATTAATCAGATATTAATTGTTATAAAAATGAAATTATTTTATAAACTTTTCATTGATTTTTTAAAATCACGTTCTTTCAGATTCAGTGCAAAAATGTAAGTCAAGAGCATAGTGACAGTAACAAAATGTCAAACTCCATCCCATCGTTGTTGTCAGCTGCTGGTGATTCGGTCATAAAGGGTTTGGTTCTACCTATTGATAAGCCAGTTGCTGATAGATCCAAGGTAGATTTATTTCAAATTTATTTCAAATTAATTCTGATGTTTGTGTTTTGTATTATTAAATTTTTATATGTGTTAAATAGGTTTGTATTATCACTAGAAGAGTTTTTTTCGTTTGTATAGAACTGAAATTGTAATAATTTTTTGATTCAGAAACCTTTGAAAAGAATAAAAATTGAAGAAGTTAGCCCTGAAACTTCAGATATCGTGCCACCCAACTCATCATCTTCGTCATCGTCGCAGTTTTCACTCAGAAGCAAACAAAAGCATGATGATGTATTTAGTAAATTTTTGAAAGAATGCTCCGATGCCAAAAAAGAAACTGAGTTTAAAGATGAGGAAGATGGTGGTATCAAATCAAATGAACAACTTGAAGAAAGCAGTGTTGCCACATCTATAGAAACTAGAAAAGATTGCGGAGACAGTAGAGAAATTTCATCCATAGATACCTCAAATAGTGAAGTATGTTTGTTTTGCACTGAATTAATATAACTTGTTACTTGCTGAAAATATTTGCTATAATGAAATATTGTAAATTTGTAAACACCTTTTTAAAGAATAGGAAGGTTACAGAATTATCTTCAACAAAGCTCTCTAATATGATCGAAGAAATTAATGGTTCTGTGCCTAAATTATCACTCTTGTCACCTACAACTTCTTCAAAGACAGCACCTTCACAACTGAATCTGCCACTACCTCAGACTTCTGAAATCACGACTACCACTACTACACCAGCCTCAGTGTTAGAATCTTCATCTACAACATATCCACCACCACCACCACCAACAACAGTCACAGCAAAGACAGAATCAATGCTATCCATTCCACAAGTCCCCACCACTTCATTTCAATTTCAGTCTGATTGGAAACATCTAAGGAATAAAGATTTCGAATTTTTCAGCTATTTCAAAGTCAGTAGTGTTATGTTACATCTTGGAGTTTCTGCAATGCCATGCATTTTAAAATAGCATACTTTGATTTTTCCTAAGATTTTTAGGTTTTGCATTGACACCAAACAGACTATAAAAAAAAATATAAATAAATACAATTTTATATTATATACATAAATAATAATCTTTATTTCCTGATGTCTTACAGAACATAGAGCCAAGCCACTACAGAAGCTTGTTTGGTGAGGCACTCGAGTCAGACATGCTGCAGAAGATAATACGCACACTTCATGCATACTACATCAAGTTTGTTAATTTCATTTTTGTCTGAAACTATTTTTTTTTTAATTAATCTTATATAGTCATATCGGTTGCTATGTTCATTCTTACAATACTGGTACCAATCTATTTGTTTGCTTTTTGTCTTTAAATGTATCTTTTTGAATCAAATATTTTGTGAGTGCTTGCACATATTTCGTTTTTTTTTCTGGTGAATGACATAGACATTCGTTATTTTTTCATTTCATCTTTTAACATTTGTTAAGCTGTTTTTGAGAGTTATCGAGTTCTTTTAGACTTTTATTTCATCTATGGAATGATAAATAAGAAATTCACAAGGTAAAAATGGGAAAATGAATGACGTAAAGATGCATCACCCAGCTGAGGCGTTACTCATTTTCAGTGCTATTTTCTATCAGATTCGTAATTCAAATTTTTATTGATACCATTTGCAAAAATATTTCTTTCCAGGGAGAACTTAGACGCTTACAAAGTCCTCTTTTATCTGCCATCTGTGAAAAGATTTTCAATGGTCGTCATGTTCCTGTCGAGTTCTGATAAGTCTCGTAAGCTTCCATGTTTCTTAACTGATGATAATTCATTACGTAATTAACGACCATAGTTCAATACATAATGACAATTTTTCAAAAGACATTCTTCAGTTAATCGAATCGTGACGGATGTACATAGTTGATAACAATGATATGTGGTTGATATCAATGATATATAATAGTTGATATATAGGTACATAGTTGGTATTATTGATAATTTATATGATCAATATATCATTAACAAAATTGCGTAATTACGATTAGTTATAGGTAAGGGGGATAATAACTTTTTGCCAATTTTTCATAATTGATGATTACAGCATCATTATTATCATTATACAGCTGCTTATTTTAAAATCATACCTACCAAGCAGTATTAGCAACTGATTTTTTATCGTGTAATAAGATTGAATCATCGTCACAAAAACAATAATTATACAATCACATTAACCAGCGACTTTGCAGATGCCATTAAACTTCAATAGATTTATCATTATATGGATATATATTATTCATAAATTGTATCATTGTTGTTTACTACTATTTATATCCTCATCTCAATTATAATTTTTAGTACTGAAGGAGATATTTGCGAAGATATCAGTAGGTGGGGTCTACAGTGTCGATGATGTCAGTCAACTGAGAATAATGTTTGAACTTTGAGTGCTAATGATATTAATAACTTACAATAATAACTGTTATCATTATTATTATTATTACTTATCTTTTTTTATTGTCGAATCATTCTCACGGATACAATCCTCATCATCACCTTCATCATCTTACCAATTTCATCATCCTGGTTTTATTTGCCACAATTACTACGACCATATACATAATATCATGCATGAAAATGATAACGATGATGTAATGGTGTAGCCACCAATGATGGTTGAATTTTAAATGTTTATCATTTACGGTTGATTTTGTTGGACGTTGAATAAGAAGAGCTTTACTGACAACTTGACATTTTTGTTGTAACATTTATTTTTAACAGTCATATCTCATTAACATATCTCTTCGAGACCCAATCTCATTAATATATTTCCTCAAGATTGCCACACACACCCACGCACGCACGCACACACACACTTGACTATAGTAAATAAAAATAATTATCAAAATGATAACAGGAATAATGATAATAATATAATAACTACTTATGATCAATAAAAATAAACAAATGATGGTGCTACAAAGATAGATTTGATTGGATAAAAAAAAAATCAAGAATAACAAAAACATACCTGAGATGATATATATATATATATATATAATAATATATACATCATAATTTATATATATATATGTGTGCGTGTGTGTGTGTTGTACCAACTTGTGTGTGTGCATTCAACGTTTCTGAGCATTTTTTAAAATGAGGTAGCTATTGCACATGTATGTGTGTGCGTGTTTAGATGAAACCTAAAATTCAGTAAAAAAAATTTATTCCTAATGATATTAATTACTAAATAGGCGTCGCAAATCGCACATCAAAATTATATATAATTAATAATACAACAACAATACACGTTTAGACATTTTCCCCGAGATCTGGGGTTGCCGTTTGGCTACCTATGATGAAACCGAAATACCCCTCGACGCCATCCACATCTGTCACTCGCCTCAGTATCACGCAACCCCGCTTTCACCCTGTCCTTCTCCACCTGCTCTCTCCATCCCAATCGCGGACGACCCCTTCCTACCACTCCTTCAACCTCGAACTCCAACGCTCGCCTAATCCCGACCCTTTCATCCCTTCTCAACACATGTCCATACCATCGCTTTCACCCTGTCCTTCTCCACCTGCTCTCTCTATCCCAATCGCGGACGACCCCTTCCTACCACTCCTTCAACCTCGAACTCCAACGCTCGCCTAATCCCGACCCTTTCATCCCTTCTCAACACATGTCCATACCATCGCAATCTCGATCTCCTTATCAATGTCACAATGTCCTCATTCAGTCCCATCATTGACATCAGCTCTGTACTACTCCTCCTATCCTTCACTTTAACCCCACACATCATCCTCACCATAACTCTTTCAGCCCTCTGCAGTACACTTTCCTCCTCTCTCCTCAACACCCAAGTTTCACCACCATATACCATCGCTGCTCTCACACATGCTTTATATACCCTCCCTTTCATCTTCACTGACCATTTCTTTCCACACAATACCCCACCCAGTTCCCTAAATTTCATATAATTAATAATAATTAGTAATAATTACATAATGTGTGTGTATTCTATGAAAATAGTATCATGTTTTTTTAACAGAGAGCTGTTGGATTAATTGTTTAATGTGTTTCCTTTGCTCTGCAGCGTGTTGAGGCTTTATATCCGGCTTTATGTCCCTCAGATATTTCAGATCCGTAGTGTCCCTTGCGTATCTGCCACATATATCATCGACTATGCATATCACGTACACTCCGCAGTCTGAAACTGTCGATGGTGAGATTATCAAGGGGATTGTTTCATTGGGGATTAATCATGTTTAATTAATAAATTAAATGAATTGAGCGAATATCCACACGATTCTATAATATTTAAAAAAAAATTAGTCAATATTCACCTTTAGTTAGAGTGGGAATGAATGAATGAATAAATGAATGAATGAATGAATGAATGAATAGTGGTAAAGCTAATGGATGATGGTGAAACTAATGGTGAATAAAAGCAGTAACTAGGAGATTATAGCTGTTAGGCGCAACAACATTAGAATTGTCTAGAGCTTTCAATTCAAGTGCACTGAAGAGAAAAGAAAAATAATTGCAAATTATGAGAACAGTGAAAGTAGCGTAGACTAAGCAGGTGACGGTGATGACGATGATGATGTTAGTGATAATAAAAGATTACGAGCAGCCAAACTGATGATGATGATGACGTTTGCGATTGCGTTAAATTACAACAACAATGACGATGATGATGTCTGTGATGATATAAGTTTACAAACAAACCAAAAAAAACCAACAATTAATTTGCTGGGGACATTGACCTTCTACAAACTTCAGATCTTTGTATCCTTTAGCTGTTGTTGAAGTTTTATAAATTTCATTTTAAAGATTTTCAAACTTTTTAGGAATTTATCATAAATTAATTACTAATAATCTAATAGTTCTTAATTAACCGTTCTTTAATAAATAAACTATAATAATAACTTGCTGGTTGGATGACAAAATCATCTAATTAAGTGTTATTTTATATTCATTGCTTATTATCTGCCTTTCTGCCGTGTTGTCATTCTCAATTTTACATAACTTCTGCATACATCAAAAAGATTATTATTTACAAACTGTAGAATATTTCTGAAACCACGAACATGTTAAATTATACATACATATACATTATCATCTTTTGTTCCAATTTTTACAAGTATCATTATTAAACAGAAATTACGATACTAGAAAATATAAACGAACTAAAATAAAAAGGTCATATTATTAGAGCGATAGATAGATAAACAGAGAAACAGACAGATAAAAATATAAATGGATAAATAGATAGAAAGAAAGAAAGAAAGAAAGAAAGATAGATGGATGGATGGATGGATGGATGGATAGATAGATAGATAGATAGATAGATAGATAGATAGATAGATAGATAGATAGATAGATAGATAGATAGACAGATAGATAGACAGATAGATAGACAGAGAGACCGATAGGACATGAAAAAATTGATGGCTCCTTACATATAAGAGCCTTGTTAATGATTTGGAGGAGAGATTGAGATGATTCTATGTTGATGTCACGAGAGGAATCAAAACTGTAGCACTTTGATTCGCCGATATTTATAACTAACAAACTCCTATTGGTTAAAAAAAATGTTTGCATCATCAAGTTTAATTTAATTAGTTAAATAAATTTGAATAAGGAAGTTATGGGCATTGTTAAGTGAGAATTTTTTTTAAGTGATTCAATTTGAAGCAATTATATCCGACTTTCATGTTCAAATATCTAACAACCACTAATTATTACCGCAATGTCCCATGCTAATTGTATGCCATCAAATAAATCTTATTTCGACAACTGCTGAATATTCTCATCGCTGAAACCATCATCATCATTCTGATAATCATAATCACAATCTTCCTCATCGTTCATCAGCACCATTATTATTTTTGAACTCAAAGTAATTAATTAAACTCATAGCTGTATGGTAAATTCATGAAAAGTATAAAACACCAAAGACTAGGCAAATGACAAACCAATGTGAACCGCCAGAATTAGTACTCGAGCTGTTGTTATTAAGTGGGATAAAAATCAACTTCCTGTTGTCCCAATCCCAACATTCAATCAGGGATGTCACAAACTCTTCTGAGCAATCGGAAAGAAAAAAAACTTCGTTTAATTTGCTTTTTTATTGATGAAAAGAAAAATTTTTGAGAATTACCATCAGAGAATTTCAACAACTGAACCATAGATGGATTGATGAATAATAATTCTTTGGAGTACTTTTCATACTTGTCGTATTCATAGTACCTGTGATGGTTTGAGCATGGGAGTTGAGATAATTTTATGACATTGGTAATAAAATGAAATCTTTATGAAAATTTTGAGTAAATTCGTTAAAAAAATATTTGAAATTTTGTGGTTTGAAATGTTTTGAGATTTTTAGATGAAAAAAAAAATCATCTCACTCCAACATGAAACCGATGAGGTTATCATTCAGCCAGCGACCATCATTCAACAGTCGGACATCAGAGGTCCTCAAGAGACTATCATGATAATTTAACACAATACTACTGCTTCCTTTACTCATTCCTTTATAAATAAAGAGAAGTTTAAAATGTCTTTAACTTAGAGTAACAAAAAGTTTTGTGTATAAGTCTATAAGAGGACTGGACAAGGAAAAAAATTATGCATGTGTTTTATGAGCATATAAAATAGTACAAGAATGTACTATATAATTGTACACATGTACAAAATGTACATACATGGTGTAAACCAGTAGGAAAGTTGTCTACATAATAACATAACAGATAACATTAGATGTGAATCCTCAGGGGAATTAATAAACATCTAAAACTCTCCAACTGAATAACAGCTAGTGTCCTGGAGCTACATACCTTACATTAAATTACAACTTCATGACATCAATCAATGATTAATGCCTTGGGCATATAAAATGACAAATTGATAATAATGTTATATTACAAATTACACTCACATTCCATATGACCATAAAATATAATATACTATAGAGACTGTGACTCAGTCTCTGAGTTTAAAGTAAATTTAGTTTGTATTTTATTTATTTATGTTACTTAAAAATAAAAAAAAAATAAAAAATTAGTTTAGTTAGCTTAGGCTAGGAATATGAATACTATAAAATAAACATATATATCTGTGTCTAGAATATCTAAATTAGAAATAAATAAGAAGATATCAAGTTTTATCTCTACAAGTCTAGGCTAGAGTCTTGTCAGTCTACTGCCTAAGCTAGAGCAGTACCTAAAACAAAAACTTAAGTTAGAGAAGAATAACTTTTAGATTCCAGGAGATAGATGAAAGGAAGGTGATATTGAATGTGATATTTTATTATTTCTTATTTCATATATTCATTCATTTGTATGTGTAAAACTAAAAAATTTGAATTTGAAAAAAAATATATAAAATAACCAAAGCTGCATTGATACAAGAAACTTAAAGATAAAACAAATAAATAAAATAAATAAATAATGAAAAAAAAATAAATAAAAATAGCGGCATACCAAAATTGTTAAATGATGAAATAAAAGAGCCGTAAGTTACAAATAAACCAAAAAATTAGCAAAATTAGGTTGCAATAAAAAGCTTTTCTTAGCTTCAATTAACTTTTAGCTTCAAATATAGTGCGTTCAAAATTTACTTGTATTCAAATGAACTCTGACGAAGAATATATATGAAAAAAAGAAAAAAGAATTAGAAGTCAGTTAAATAGATGTTTTCTGTTTTCTATCTGAAAAATTCATCAGCTCACACATAGGCATGCTTATATTCAATGAGGATAGTTATAATACATGATATTTTTTAGCTATCTACATGTATATATATATATATATATATATATATATATATATATATATATATATATATATATATATATACATTACAAACCCGAGTTAATTGCCACTCAGTGTCAACTGTTTGTAGAAGTCGGTTGACGTCATATCATAACAACTACAAACACTCACACATTAAATAAAGTTTAATTCGCTACTTCAAAAATTAAACTTTGTAAACAAGAGAGTGAATAATAAATTGCATTTGAATTAGCTGATGTTGTCTCTGTGAAGCGTTTGCCATGATAGTCAAAGTATGCAAACTTCAGTTAGGTGCATTTCAACAACTGCAACGTATATGTTAATATTAACACCGTAGCAATAGTAACAAACAATAACAGTTGCTTCAGCTAACTAAACCAAGTGCCTTTTGTTTTATAAGACAATAATTCAAATACTTACGAGACTTTTGATATAATTGTTGCAGAATTTTATAACAATATGGTATTAACAAATATATTTATGTGAATCTATAGTATTTATAACATATATTTTCGTGTACTTGTGTGTGTGTGTAGATATGCCTTTAGATTAATTTTTTGAAGCAACCATAAAAGATAAAGCCTGTCAAATCGATAGAGATGAATGTTAAAGACATTATACAGTTCTAGCCATATCGATTCATCGTGCATTCAATAAAAGGGTTCACTCACTCACTCACTCACTCACTCACTCACTCACTCACTCACTCACTCACTCACTCACTCACTCACTCACTCATTCATTCATTACTTCATGCATGCATTCGTTCTTTCATTAATTTATTCCTTCGTTTTTTGTTCGTTTGTTCATTTTTTACATCCTTTCACTCATTCGTTTAATCAAACAACAAATCACATGGTTCTACCATTAATTTGTTCGTTCATTCAGTCATTCTTCATTCATCTAATCAGTTACTTATAGAATTAAATTCTACACAATCGTTTATTAATACATATAAATGAATTCTAGATAAAAATTTTCAAAAAAATATTATTCTTAAAGATTTTTAACTATCGTATCTCCTTTTCATTGTTATATTTGTTCAGTTTATTTACACAAAGTTTAATTTATAAGTTTTAAAAATTTTGCACTTGCACTAGATTAAAAATAAAATTCTCGCTATTTTTATAGAATAATTAAAAAAAAATTTTCGTGATGAAAAAATTATGAAACGTCTTCAGCACATAAAACACCTTTATAATATATATATATATATATATATATATATACAAATTAATACCTAAATATGGTGCGTCAGGGTAAATATTTGTTAAAGAGTGTGCTTTCGTGTAAGAAAGACGGGCTTATTTATTATTTCAAAATTGTTGAATATAATTTCTTGGCTCTCTGACACACAATGGCAGAAAAACAAGTGTTTCAATAATGCTATTTTATTTCCATTAACACAGGCACGATTAAGCCAAATAAAGTTTCAAAGATATGTATAAATATTTGTTTATATATTTACTTATATATCGCTTATTACTCATATATATATATATATATATATATATATATATATGAATATATATATATATATGTGTGTGTCTGTGTGTGTGTGTGTATGTGTGTGTGTGTAAATTGTATGTATGTATTGCATTTGTATTGTATGAATTCTACAGAATTGTTGGCATTAATCAATTTAAAGTTTGTCTTTTCAATTTTTCTTCATCATAAAAATTTAATGAAACTGTTGTTATCCAAATTCATCATGCAGATAGCCTTTATTTCGATTTTTCACAAATCATCTTCAGTGCAGGTTTGGTTTATATAGTTTCTTTAAACAAAGCTAAGTAAGTTCTTTAGCAAAGTAAGTTACTTAGTTGGAGTCGTATTTTTCATCTTTGTTATCGTCGTTTCTTTGTTCTATGATGTTATAGAAGTTAGTACAAAACTGTAGAAAATATGGACTCCTTCCAACATTATAATATATATATATATATATATCAATATTATATATCAGGGATATATATATATATATATATATATATATATATATATATATATGTGTATATCAACCGAAAGAAAGATATGTGAAACCATCATTGCTCCACAGATGATCTATGGATTAAAATGCGTGGATAATTTAAAAGACAGATGAAAAAAAACATTTAGCAGCCGAAATGAATTGTCTGAGATAGATCGTGGGTGTAAGTAGAATTAAAAAAAAAAAAATAAGAGACAACATCAGATAAAACCTTGGGGAAGAGAGCAACATAATAGAAAGAATCCTTATAAGAAGAAGATTAACTTGGTTTAGACATGTAAACAGGATGAACTTGGAGAAATTACCATATAGAGCCTAATTCAACCATGTTAGAAAAGAAGAGGTCATCCAAAAAAGATTTAGACACGCAACATCAAAGAATACTTTAAAATAAAAACACAAACATCTCAGAAGCCGGATAAATGACAAAAGATAGAAGTAGATGGAGGCTCTTTGTGACTAGCTATTGCCGCCCTGGGCTGGCAGACACCAGATGATGATGATGATGATGATGATGATGATGATATGTATATATATATATATATATATATATATATATATATATATATATATATATGTTGGTAATAGACCAAAATTTTTACAATATTCTATAAATTCTACCGAATGTTTGGCGTTAATATGTTTGTAGTTCGTTTTTTCGATTTTTCTCACTAAAGTT